ACCACAAATTTGACGGGTCTTCAACTCACCAATCACCTGTTTTCTCCCCACCTAACTAACCATCCACACAATTTTTTTAACAAAAAAATAATCCAACCCCACTCCTTCCTTCCCTCCGTTCTCGCTCTTACCCCTCCAAAAAAAAAAGAGTACTCTTTCCCAAAACACCACCCAGTCAATCGCACTTTTCCAATCGTACACACATAAAAAAATGCAAAAGAATTGATGAGAGTGGGATTCGAACCCACGCCTATTACTAGACCAGGAGATTGTAAACAATCGTTTGTTAAGTGTTGGATACCTTAACCTGGCGCCTTAGACCAACTCGGCCATCTCACCATAGGTACTGGGGTGTACTTGTTGTGGGGAGGGGAGGATGGGGGGTTATATTTGAGGGTTTGTTTGGGGGGGGGAAGGGGTTTGGCAGGATGGGATGGGATGGGATGGGTAGAGGATTGAAGAGAGGATGAGAATGAGGATGAGGATGTTAGGTAGTGAATCGTGGATATGACGAAGAAAACGAGGAGGATAGCTCAATACGACATATTTCACGTGTGTTTTGGTAACAGAATGTCAACAAACAAATCCTCTTTTACGTAGATAATACATATATGTACATACGTACAGACAGATTACTCATTCTGATACTCTATCTAGACCTGTACCATCCCTTTTTCTATTTCTCTTTTCTATGATGAGTTAGTTTGGGGGTTGGGAAATCTTTAGATTAGATTGGGTTGGAGGGTTTGTGTGTATTGTATGTATGTATGTATGTATTAGGTTTGGGTTTGGATTTGTAGTATGAAGTGAGTGAGTAGTACAAGTTGTTTGGACATGGGGGACTTGAGGATTTATTCATTCGGTTTCGATTTCTTAGAGGAGATTGATGGTAGGTCTGTTTCTAGAGGGTGAGATGAGACGGGCTTTGGTGGTATCGTATTGTATTGTATTGTATTATATCGTGAGGTAGAGTGTTTGGGGATATGTTCAAGTAGAGGGCGTACGAGGAGAAGAGAATCGGTGTAGGTACCAATTTTTTGAGGTCTGGCCACGAGGATTTAGAATGGAATTATTTGAGGATGAGAGATTTTGATTTTCTAAATTGGGTTGATTTGATGATGTTTTGAGTATCTGTTTATGTCAAGGTATTTATTTGGTATTTCCTATTGGGAGTATTAAAGTATCGCACAGATTCTAAAGTCCACCTCCCGGGGAATATTCTACACATGTATGAATATTCGGATATTGAAAGTTGAAAGATCTTGTTGTACTCATTATTTCTTCCAGATCTGTCTTCACATGATGGAGGTTGACAGAGGTATCTCGGATGAAGTTGACTCTGAAGTTGTCGATGATTTATAACTTCGAGGAGGGGCTTTTGGCTAATTGGGATTTCTGTGATGACGAAAGTTCGTTACTGGATGTCATTCACTTTTTTACATGCTATAGGATAGTTTTTGTTCTCGGTGCATGGATTTTTGTCAAATGATGTGATAGTTGCAATTTGGGTTTGTGTTTGTGACTTCAAGGTGTGTCGGGTTCGTAGGTGATATGGTATATACAGATATGCTGTGGAGCAAGTTGTAAGGTGGATGGAAGTTTGTGTGAATAGGCTCTTTGGACGAGTGTCACTTTATTTTCTAATGGTGTGTAGACTGATATTGGGTGGTATGTAACTTTTGCTGCTATAAAGTGTTTGAAATAGTATGTTATTCATAACAGCAAACTTGCGAGTCTGGAACTCGTAGAAGTTGGTTGATATGATTGTTGGTGATAGTGTTGTGGTTAGTTTGATCTGAGAACCGGAACTGATAGAAGATGTGAACTTTTGATAACCAGATGTAGGGTTGATATATAGCTATTTTGAGTGCTTACTGGTTCTTCATCTGAAATCTAGTTGGTTGGGTAGTTCCCCAGGCAAAGTATCAAGATGAAGTGGTCCCCCAAGTGAACATACGAAGTTGGATGAGAGTCAAGTACACTGATGTACCATACAAAGTCCTCTTTTCAACAATTAGACTATATAACTGAATAGCTGTATATACTCATTTGCTCCTCCATTAAACATATATCCGAGCTATCCTGTATCTCTACCCCTACCCCTACCTCCAACCCCAAACTCGCCAAAAACTCCACTTTCACCGCTTAAGAAATTCCTCTCCTTCACTTCACCTTCACTTCACCCTCCACTCCATTCAAACCTCCCACCTGATTCACTTCCACCTCCCTAGTACTTCCCATCTTCCCCAGATCACGTTACATCCTCTCAATCCCAAATCTTTTGTTGCACATCTCATATTTTCTAATCTCACGATACTTCACAGTTTGAGGTTTTACTGCAAGTTGAAAAGCTTCATTTTTTCCTTTTTCTCTCTTCGAACCCTCAAGGATGGAGAAGTATATACGACACGAATCTTATGATTCTTCACTCTCACATATCTCATCTCGACCACTTCAGCACACTTCACCTCACTCTATTTCGTTCTATCCAACCATATCGCTTCCTCAACTTTTTGGAGGTTTTGTTGCATATCTCATTTTCTACATTTTCTGATCTCAGGATAGTTTCCAATTTGAGGTCCTACACCAAATTGAAAAGCTTCATTTTTCTCTTGATACTATCTTCAGAATCTTAGGACAGATAGATGTCTAGGTACCTACAAATCATGTTATTCTTGCACTCAACGCCAACTACTCACTCACTTCAAATACCTATCTATATCAACCATCGCTGTATTCACTCATTCACTTCCCCACCATATCTCTCCCTTGACGACCTGAAGGTTTTGTTGCACATCTCACATTTCCTACACATTTTCTAATCTCACAATATTTTTCTAAAACCGACTTTTCACCAATTTGAAAAGCTTCATTTTCTTTCTCTTTCTTTCCTCTCGATGTCTTCATCACAAATTTGCTCAAGATGAAGGATGAAATCTGAATCATCCCATTTTACTAATCAACTCACTCATCAACATACCCAGTAGGTATCATCTCATCCTCACTCCATCCTCATCTCAACATACACCATCTCAATCCACCCATCTGAATATTCACCCCCTACATATCCAGACAAATACAGACACTTCACTTCACTTTACTCACAGAACCAACCAACCAATCACTTCACTTCACTTTCTACACCACTAGATATTCTGTTTTGTTTTCTTTTATATTGCTGTACATCTTTATTCCTACATATACCAGCAGCGAGCTTGATGAATAGTAGATACCTATCTAATTCATACGGATAGCTACAATTATCTCCACCCTAGATACCTTGATAGATATATCGAGTTATTTCAAATACAAATTTACAAATAAGCGATATATATTACATCTCCTTTCATTGCACCACAGTACGAACCAGATATATACCTAACCCCCTTTGATATTCATAAAAACTCTAGGGATCAATTTCATTCATTCATATATTCATTCGTTTATCCCTCTAGCCAAGAAAAATATATATATAACCAAACGCCCAGTCCACTCTACTCCACTCCAGAATCCCCAACCCAAAAGCTTTCCATCTCCATCTCCATCTCCATCCCAAGATTCCCTAACTTCCTCTCACAACTCACAACTCACAACTCACAACTCACAACTCACAACTCACAACCATCACCATCACCATCACCATCATAACCATCATCATCTTGAAATTCAAATTTCCGAGCTTCCCACTTCCGAGTGAGCAGATAAGAATAAGGAAACAGAAAAAGAAAAAGAAAAAGAAAAAGAAAAAGAAAAAGAAAAAGAAAAAGAAAAAGATTCAAAACCCATCTAGTAGTTTTGGGAGTTGAATCGTGGTGAGGATATCATTTCTGGGAGTTATCGGATGTGAAGAATGATGTAAGTCTTGGATTGTAAAGGGGGCGAAGACCGAGAAGAAGGCGGAGGGGAAGACGAAGAAGAAGAAGAAGAAGAGGAGGAGGAAGAAGATAATAATGATCTATTACTCAATACTCAACATTGAGATTCCACTCATATGTTGTGAAGAAGTCATGAAACATTTATAATATAAATATAAATCCAAAGTCAAAGTCAAAGTCTAATCCAAATTCAAATTCAAAGTCAAAGTCAAAGTCAAATTCAATCTATTCAGCAAAGTATTACCTAGTACGTATACTAACGCTACAAGACACAACTGCTCGCTCATCCCATCTCATACAATCCCATGCAATCTCGTCCTATGCAATCCCAATCTCAAAGAAAATTTGATGCCTTTCAACTGCACAGTAGTACAAGAATTGAAAATGCCATGCCTAAATTGAAAATTCGCCTGCCTGGCCATCCTATCCATCCTTAAAGATATATACTCAGATCACAGGCCCAATCCTAATTCCATTCCCAACTCCATTTCAAACCATCTCAAGTAAAATTCTCAAACAATATGCACCTACCTACCAAATCATCTACCCATCCATTACCACGTCCGCCTCCTTCGCACCCACGTTCAATTCCTCTTATCCGATCTATTCGTACCACCAGAAACAGAAAATAAGATCATCGTATTTTCATCTTGCAAGCCAAGCAAGAAAAGTAATGTATGACTGCATCTCCCCTCCCACAACATTCACAATATTAGAAACCCCTTTCTAAATCTCCATCTCCATCTCCATATCCACCCCTGTTCCCAACCCAATATGAAAATCAAAAAGAAGAACGAAACTTTTAGTAATACAACCAATTAAAAACCCACCACATTGCGTGAGATATCTGTCTCCGAAGAAATAGCTGGATAAAACCCGTGAATCAAATGAATAAAGAAAGACATAGGCAGCAACGAAAATGTTGCAACCATTCCATGCGAACCGCGAAAATACTACCGGGTCTCCATCGTTACAAGCGTTGTTTTCATCTGCAAGTGACCCTTCAATTTCATCGCCACGAGTTTCTTCAAGAGGATCTGCAAATATTCATTTGCATCTGGAACAATATATTGATGAATATTGAAAAATTCTCCATCTCCCGAATAAATCGATTGCCAAGATAAATCATTCTCTAGTAGGTTCCCCATTCTTCTTTCCCATGCGACTCCAACGAGATTTTGCAAGTGGTGCTACCACAACGGGTTTTGGTACTTGTACTTCAACGATCGGAGCTTTGAGAAGAGGAGCCTCTCCTAATTTGCGCGTGGTGCTTGTGTGTAATCTCTGTAAAATATCGTAGTTTTGGAAAACTACTGGTTGATGTTTGAAAGCATCGCTTGGAAGAGGTCTGCGTGGTGCTCTGGCGCCGATTTCCAAACCTAAATCGCTGGAAGATGATGCGGAGGAGGGCGCTTTACTGTTAACAGGACTGGTAGTTTGGGATGTAGCTTTGATTATATTAGTATATTGTTTCAAGTTAAATGAGGAGAGAAATAGTTACCTCCACTTTGAGCAACACTTGATACAGGACTCATACCAACAGCAGAATCAGGAGCATGTGGAACTTGAGTTTTGATTGGAGGAAGAGGAATTGATCGATTGACTTGTTCAAAAAATGACACTTGTTCTATACGAGAATTCCATGTGGGATTATAGCCATCATAACTAGCGGCGCGTGTCGTAGCAGGTGTTCCATCGAGAGTGGCATGTCTAGATGAAACAGTCGAAATAGTACTATGAGTACGACTGACAGTTCTCTGACTTCTCCGTCTATTATGTTCTAAGATTCTGGGTCGATCTTCATGTTTCCAAGTTGGCGGTGCGCCGAAAAGTGCATCGACTGAAGCATGTGATGGAACATGTTTGTACGGAGCTTTAGCAGCTTCTTCTTCGGCTTTCTTTTTTTCCTCTTCCTCAGCGGTGATTTTGGCCTTGTTCTCTTCAATAGCCTTCTTAGTACGTTTAAACCTCGAGAGTAACGTCATTTTGGGGTTGAAATTGATTTATATGTTGTATTGTTTAAGGGTATGTATAAAGTGAAGAATCAAAGTAATATACAATGATTCAAGGTGATTTGATGTCGAGATATTTTATAGTATCGAAATGGGATGAGATGGTATGAGATGAGGAGGAATCAGACGAAGAGGAGAAATCAGACGAAGAGGAAGAAAGAGGGGAAGAAAGAGAGGAAGAATAAGAAGAAGAAGTCGATAAAATCATGAAAGCGAATGTTTCAAAACTAAAAAGTTGGTTCGAAGGAAGACTCTATCAACATACCTTGTATGTAAGCAAGATATACTAACAAGATACTAAATCCCACCAGCCGTTTTTTCTCTTCCACCTTCTTGTTATCATCTATCGGTAATCCATATAACGATTTCCATAACAGGTAATATTCAGCATACAACTAGATATTCGTCCACATCGATCATATCAAAGTTGAAATTGACTTTTCGTCTTGGGATGATCAGGAATTTAATTCATGTACTAAGGAATACCTACTTTGAAGTCTGGGATTTAGTATGTATTTGAAGCTTTCAAAATGCTTGGAATTTCTTGGTATGACTTCGAGTCGTCACTTTTTTGGAATTTTTCATATTGGGGTTTTGGTATCAAAACTTAGATACATCTAATAAAATGAATGTTTATTTCATTTCACTTCACCCATCTTTCTCATCTACATTTCAAGCTTCAGAAAGACAAGTATACCTGCCCATCTTTCCCTCCTCGCATATTCACAAAGACGGGGGAGGGGGGGAATATGGGGAAATACCCACCCAGACTTTAGCTCCAAAACATGTTCATATGACAAACCTCCTAAACAATCTAGCACATAGATACCCAATAGTCTTCTCAACAACATACTAAACAACACCAGATCCACAATCTAATCTAGATCACCTCGTCCATCTCGAATCTTGAATCTCAAATCCACTGATCTACTATCTACAGACTACATACAGACCACCTACAAACCACCTACAAACTATCTACAAACCACCTACAAACCATCTACAAACCACCTACTCTACTAAACACACAACACCCATCTCTCCAACAGCAATAACAACAGTGCCAGTCCGAAAGAAAGAGAAAAACAAGATCTCCATCCAGACTTCCCTCCCCAACACGTGAATTCTCCGACGCGAAATGCCAAAAAAGATTAAAAATGTACTAGTATTCCAAGATTTTTTCTATTGCAAACCTCAGATATAACCACCTAATCTTCTTCTTCCTCATCTCGCGAGTGATATTTTGCATAGATTGGATTGGATTTGACATGATATGATATGATGATATAATATGATATAATATAATGGAAAGTTTGATTACTGTTGAATGTGATATCTTTCGTAGGATGTATATACATATATATGTGTATGTATATGAATGTTTAGGAAATAGGAGTAGCTACTTAGTCGGGGATTTTATTTTCTTCATCTAATATAATATAATATAATATGATATAACATAACATACGTCCCCCAATACCCACACATGATAAATTGTCCATTTCCATTTCCATTTCCATTTCCATTTTGTTTTTATTCTCCTTGGATCAAAATTAGGTAGGTATACATACTACATCTTATATACATCTCACTATCTAACTACTCACCTACTAATCATCTTTCCCTCCTTTCTTCCACTTCCCACCTCCTACATACTATACTATACTATACTATACTATACTGTAACACGCCACCATCCGCAAATCACAAACCCCACCATCACATCACACAACAGAGAAAGAAAGAAAGAAAGAATCCCCAATCAAAAAGATCACTCTATTACTAATCCCAGCTAAATGTATCTCGCCCAACTTTGTATTTATATAATATCGGAATCCATACGATACGATATAGAAATATCGAATTTTTCCCTTGAAAGTGCCCGTGAAGCTGTATAGAGGGGAGAGCGATCACAATATTATATTGTATTTATGTGAAATGTTGAGCATGAATGGTAGGTTGAGTATCCCAGTTGTGTTCGTGATGTGTAATCGGATCAGATCAGATCAGAAAGGGGATTACACTTGTAGACTATAGTTATCCTTTGTATTCTTTTACTTTGCGTTTACAGGAATATGTTATGACTGTCGTATTTCTGTGAGCTGAGAGTATATGTGACGTGATATTTCCACGTAATGGTTATTTAGGCAGATGTCATCTCCAAACTTCTCAAATCGTGGGATGTACGGGACCGTTCGACTGCAAGACTTAATGATCTTAAATCTCCCATTCATCTCTTTTCAGATACTGAATCCTTCATCTCGCCATCACCTCTTGTACCTGGAAACTGAGTAAAGCTTGTCTGGGTGATTGTTTCGCATACATTCTCCGCGTGCCAGTACCACGCTGGTGAAAGAGTGCATGATACTAAGCTTATGCTTAGTATGTAGCGCAACATTATCGCAAAAAATCTACTCTGGATATCTGGTAGACTAATGTACAGCACCGAAGATTGATTTAGACTTACGAAATACCTCGTATCTTCCAGTCACGATTTGATTCTTTGGATGAACATTTTGATTTACCTGTTCAGACTTTTGGTACAAGCGACCAATTAACACTTTGATAGGATTATCTAACGTATTCTGTGAGTCTCCTGAGAGTACACTCTTGAATATCAACTTCATTTCCACTGTGTATTGACCTCCGGAAGTGTGCTCACTTGATCAATCGCCGAAAGGATCATTTTTAGACTTTCAATTTTTGTTTGAGTACTCGATGTCTTTAGTGATCCTTGGTACCTCTAACACGTGTCGGTAAACACTAGGCAGACATGAAAAGAGCACTACCTAGTATCAAATACCATATGGTTTTGGTGGTACTTACCACCAAAATCATGAAAACCATGTACAAATCCGTGTGTGGTGGAGGTGGCCAGGATATCATTTGTCTCAGCCCTATCTCGGCTATGCAACACATCAGGGAGTAAGAAATGGCACTGCAAGTGGTCAGACCTTTGGAAATCTACTAAGAAATCTTCCGATGAACTGGTATCGAGGTGGAAGCTTGAAACCGCCTCTCAGTCGTAACCAAAAAGTATAAAATGCCATGTGGGAAATGTTTGTGGGAAATGCTTGTAGCCGGTCAATGTGGTAGAGCTTGTTGAAGGTATGTGCGAATTTGTGGGAAGTTTATGGAGTATGAATTGTAGTATCTCTCAAGAAGATAGACTAAATCAACAGAAGGCTTCCTTCCATCAAAGAAGGGCCATTACAGAATGAGAACATATCTCAGGAAGATAGAACTATCCACCAAAATGTTAGACCTCGACGTTAAGTGAGGCTGAAGCCTTGGGCTTTTCTCTCCTCGTCATATCGTGTGCTGCAAAGAATGATTAGGAATACGATACTCAACTACCCGTATGCATTAAAATGTAGTTGGAATAATCGATAGATCAAGAGAAGGGTTTGTTATTCGGCCAATACCAAGGTTGTCGTTATCAAAAGGGGCGGGGGAGGGAATATTGCTACTGCACTGCACTGACCTGATTTCATTCATGATGAGAAACGCTCCAATCATGATAAACGAAGATCCAACTTATAACTGCAGCCTCCCGCGGATGCATATTCTCCCCCATGGTACAATATGAAGCGCATGCATAACATACCGGTGAAGCTTGTTCCTAGCATGATCCATTTGTTTATTTGTGTCTGGTTTCTAGAAAGCGGAATGATCAAACCTTGGGAGGTCCGATGTTATGAACCTCCGAAAGATCCGTGGTTTTCATGGGTTGTGAAAAGCGTGACAATTCCGTTCATTGAATTGCACTCATCTGGAGATGGAAAAGAAATGTCGGTAAGGCTAAGGTTTTCTTCAAACTTTCACCATCCAACATGTTGTTCTTTGACTGTCTTCGACTGTCTTCAACCTGTTTTCGACCATAAATGATTTCAACCGTTCGAAAAAGAGAGTTTTCCCACAGCCCAAAATTGGATTCTTAGTTTTCCAAGTCCAGGATCTTGTCACCGGGAAATCGGAGAAGTCTAATTAGGATAAAATAGTCGGAGAAAAAGGCATGATTCCACGTTTTTCTTCTAGTATTCTCCGTAGCAAGAGGGCATTGTCCTCAATTGGAGAGATTCCGCTTTTGATGGTCTCGTTAGGACATTTTCCTATCTTCCATAACGCCTCCCGTCTTGCCAATTGATTCTTGGATAGTGGCTGTATAGAGAAGGAGATCTAGAACGCTCGGCTGAGGATGTCCGGAAAATAGTCAGGAACATATCAATTCACTTATCTTGAATGATTTGGATACTCAATATGATGATCATGATAACAGGCATGTTTAGGAATTTGAAAGAGGGATGTAACGGACGGGGGCGGGGTATCGTATTCGCAAAGACCTTACGATGGACTGTTCAGTGCATACCGGTACTGCCAAATCCAAGATAAGCAAGCCTACGCAGTACGAGTACAGAGGCTCGAGTATTGGATGTAGGATGTTCACATTTGCATGGCATAGCATAGCATAGCATGGCATGGCATGTCATTGAATATCAGATCGACCAAGCAAGTTGAAGGATAGGAAGAATGAGGGAGAATGGGGAAGAATGGAGAAGCTTGAGAAATTCCGTATTATTCTCTTGACAAATGATATGTATGGATAATTCTTTAAGAGGTACAGCCCCCAGCCCCCAGCCCCCAAAGAACTGCTCCGTATGAATTCCCTTTATCCGCCAGATATTAATGAACGAGATTCAATCGTGTAAATAATTCTTTCTCTCCTGACTTCACATCGACTTGAAGATGTGAAGAGTTTTACATCCCTTCACTTCTCTTCTCTTCTCTTCTATCCCTCCCTCCCTTCCCTTCCCCACTACGGAGTACACTGCCCTGCATCAACTGCCGCTCAATCTATCATGCATCGAATGATCCTAGTCAGACAAGGAATACTTTGGACATTCCCCATGTCTCAAGAAGCGCGTGAAAAGTAATACCGACGGAACGAGTTTCAAAAAATAAAGGTGTGAGGAATGTCATCTTGAGATCAGCATGGGATTCAGTCACCACCTGCTCCGACATGCCAGATACTTACATCATTCATGCATGTGTATCTCTGGGACAGCATCCAAATGCACAATACATACCAAGGTGCCTACCAGACGGGACGATTCGCTTGCCAGATTGTTTATCTCCCAACATTTGAAACACCAGCACAGAACATCGCGTGAGATCACGATTGGCTGATGGAAGGAATTATTGGACCCCGAAGCGCACTAAAACCAGACACGTGATGGGGATCCAAGAGTTGGAGACTGTAGTTGAGCCCACGGTGCCACCGATCGCATGATAAGATCAATCCATAATGTCAACAAATTAATTATACCTGGGTAATCGACTGTGTGTGATCTTCCAAGGGTCCAAACGATACATCCCGTCCATCTTCCATCAACAAGAGAACACACGTAAAATCCATTGGTGGCCGTACATCGTAGTCTTCGTTTCTCCGTACCTTTGTAGATTATTATTCGTGGTCACGTCAATTTCTATATTTATCCCATCTGGCCTTGCTTCACTCGCTCGATAGAAAGTTGCTTGCCGTGCCTCACCTTACCTGGCATAATTTTAGCGAGAGAATTAAATGTACGGCGTGAGCGTGTAAAGTTAATAAGTTCCACTTACAATTTCATCATCCCGAACCCGCACGCCAACAAGCAGATGAATTAACCCGCACAACAATCCGAAACCATCGCAATCCATCCCGATTTATTCATTAGAAGTAATTATCACCGTCGCTTACTGTCTTCATTTCGGATCTCATCGTGGAGAGATCACTCCATTACCTGAACCAACTTCCCAGTTACGCGCGACTCCGAGGCGCAAACAATCCACTGTGGCGTCCGTTCTCACGCAAACGCAGTCGCAACTGTCTCTTCAACAACACTTAGATATCTCATCGGAGGTCCTGGAATACGTGCAAGAGGAACTGGAGGGGGAACCACAACCTTTGATGATGGCGCAGGCAGGAGGGCCTAATCAAAATCCGCCAAATGACAAGAGAAGGGTCAAGGTCTATGAGTTGCGCGATGGCGACTGGTTTGATAGAGGTACTGGCTTTTGCAGAGCCGACTTTATGCTTGTACGTTTATGCTTGCTTTCTCAATCTTCACGCATACATCTATTGTCTGCGCGCCGATTGTTCTTGTCCTTATCTTTCTCTCTCATCTTCGCCGGGACTGGTTGCCTAATCATCTTGAATTTCTATAGGATAATGGCCCCGAAAAATCAGACCCTAGAGTAATGGTGCAGTCGGAGGATCAACCAGGTCGTATACTTCTAGAGACTAAGATCGTTAAAGGAGATGAATTTCAGAAACAGCAAGGTATTTTGGATCAGCGCATGACTCCCACATTTCATACTAATGCGTGCCATGCAGAAACTCTCATAGTATGGACAGAACCGGATAGTGAGATGGATATGGCTCTCAGCTTTCAAGAAGCAGAGGGCTGCACGGCTGTTTGGTAAGTGGCATGTCGCGATTAACGCGTCATAAGATAGATGGTTGCGCATCCGAACATATTCTGACTGATGCTTACGACAGGCGATTCATCAATAACATACAAACGACTTTGGGTGGACATGGAGGAATTAGTATCGAGGGTAAGTTGAGCAACCTACAGTTCTAATTACGATAACCTTTTTGCCCTCGTGGTACTTACAATTGTCTATAGAAGATATCATATCTGATGATAACATCCCCGAGCTAAACATTCCAACGTCTCTCCCCAATCCTTCATTGGGTAACCTGCCCGAATTGGAAATGCAATTAAGACAATTGAACAGCACAACGTCCGGACGCGAAGCCCTTACGAAATTGGTTATCAACGAAAACTATATCCGAAGATTGATACCACTGGTCGAGATAGCAGAAGATATGGAGGATTTACCAAGTTTACATCGACTTTGCAACATGATGAAGATAATAATTTTGCTCAATGACAATGCAATTATCGAGCATATTGTTACGGATGAGGTGGTTATTGGTGTTGTCGGAGCTTTAGAGTACGATTCGGATTTCCCAAGTCACAAGGCCAATCATCGACTTTGGTTGGGCAAAAAGGATAGATATAAAGAAGTTGTTGAGATACCCGATGAAAACATCATGAGGAAGATTCACAATACGAATCGATTACAATATCTCAAGGATGTGGTACTCGCTCGAATCTTGGATGATCCAACGTTCTCGGTTCTCAACAGTCTTATCTTCTTCAATCAAGTTGAGATTGTCCAATATTTGCAGAACAATACAGCAGTTCTCAAGGAACTTTTTGGCATTTTTGGAAACCAAGAGACAGATCAGGAAAGGAAGAAGATGGCCGTACTTTTCATACAACAATGCTGCGCTATCGCGAAGAATTTGCAACCACCAGGACGACAAACGCTATACAATAACTTTTTAAGTCATGGTCTTTTATCTGTCATTAACTTTGCTCTCAAACACAATGACGTTGGGGTACGAGTGGGAGCTACAGACGTATTGGTTTCTATGATTGATCATGATCCCCAAATGATTCGTCAAACCATATTTCGACAAATGGCCGAGAAGCAAACTTTGCTGACTGATTCTCTCATCGATCTTCTTCTGGTAGAAGCAGATTTGGGTGTAAAGGCTCAAATAGCAGATGCGATCAAGGTTCTCCTCGACCAAGGCAGTCATGTAGGGCCATTAGAAGGACTCTCAAAAGCCAATGGTGCTGAATATGCCGCTCGAATTCGAAATCAAACAGATCCTCAACATGAACTTTTCCTTAATCGATTCTATGAGGAATCAGCGAAAAAACTATTTAAACCTTTAGTGGATTTGAAAGGACGCGAGGATATGAACTTTACTGTTCATCAAGTATCTTTATTCATTTATTTGATCGAGATTCTGTGCTTTTTCATTAGACAACATATGCACCGCAGCAAATATTTCGTGCTATCAGAAGGATTGGCTCAACGTATCTCTCAACTTTTGGGGAGTCCCGAGAAGTACCTAAAATTGAGTAAGTTACTGTATTCTCGGTAGCTTTTAAACTTTACTAACAGAATCTAGCCGCATTGAAGTTTTTCCGAAATTTGGTTGGTTTACAAGATGAATTTTACAATCAACAGATGATGCAAGATCATCTCTTTGAGCCAGTTTTAGACCTTGTCATTGAAACAATGCCTCGAGATAATCTTCTGAATTCAGCCTGTTTGGAGTTCTTCGAATTCATCAAGAATCAAGGATCTAGTACAAGGGTTTTGGTCAATCATTTGGTGGAAAACTATCGAGAAAAATTCGAGTCAATCACCTATGTTGACACTTTCACAAATTTCATCACAAGGTATGATAACAATCAAGGATTCGCATCGAGTATGGAAACTTCATTCCTCGATACCGAAGATGAAAGTCCGAAGAGACCTGAGACAGGTAGAGGTAGTAGATGGGGCTCAGGTATCAAGGACTTGGATGCGGATGAAGAAGCCTATTTCAACACTTCTGATGATGAAGAGGAAAAATCTCAGGACCAGAGTTTGACGAATGGGGAATCACCTGCTTCGCAGCCTTTAGTTGACTATCCATCGGATGAAGAAAATGAAAATTCGGAAAATGATATTTCTGTGGGTATCACCTCCGCTCCATTAAGTCGGAGCCCTTCACCAAAGCCATTAGCTTCCAAAGATTCCAGTGGAGATGAGTTAGTATTAACTCCTACCTCTTCCACACCAACTCCACCAGAAAGGTTATCGGAAAAACGCAGGAGAGAAGAAGATGAAGAAGATGAACTCGGCAAACTTTCTCATCATAAACGAAGAAGTTCTACGAGTTCTACGACATCAACCAATAGCGTGTTGAGGAAGAAACAAAGCTTCAACAAAACACGAGATGGTAATAATGGACCCAAAAAGATTGCAATCAGTTTAACTCCAGCTATCAAAACTGGCGGCGATAGCCCTGGTGGCAGTTCAAGTTGACATACTGTTACGTTGATTTACAAATCTTTTTAATGGAAGATTAAGATTCTTCGGAGGACATTGGCGCTATTTAATTGCACGAAATGGAGTTTGGGCGAAAGGAAGGGAAGGAAATGGAATTGTTGCTGATTGATTGATATAACGATTCACTCAGTTCAAACCAGTGACTGTGATTGCTTTATTGGTTTGCTTTTAATTTTGGCGCCAACATTTCAATTTTGCTTGCATCAAGATTCTTGGCTTTGGCTTGATTTTTTCGCTTTGGTTGAAAGGATGGGGAGGGAAACTTTGCGGAATCACTTGATTGTCAATTACTTGTACAGTAGAATTGGGACAGCGATATTTCTGGGAACGAATGGGATGGATAGGTGGGATGGGAGGAAATCAAATGATTAGCGAATGAAAGGGGAGAGAGGAGAGAAGAGGAAATGAAAAGATGAGAGAGAACAGATGAGTTGATATCAGATGAATTGATACTATCTTTGTCAAATAGATCTTGACATTGAGAGCAGCATGAAATGAAGATTTCCAGCACTTTGATTGATTGATTGTTTTTGAATGGTTTTGAATGGTTTTGAGGTTAAAAGTAGAAATCTATTGTTGAGATGTGATACCTAGGTAGCTTGTATTGATGGGAAGGCTCTATTCTTTTTAGAAAGAAAGAAAAAGTATTATAGGAAATACATTCTCTCTCTTTCTCATCCCATACCATCCCATACCATTATCTCGTACCTGGCTTGTACCTCGATCTTTATATCTATTTTAATATCTATTTTCTTATTTATCTTTACATCTATCTTCACATCCTCAAACTTCACCCTCGAGCTCCCCGCATCATAAGTGAGGCTACGACTCTACGAGAAACAAACAAGGCTGGCTACCGGACCCGAGATTCTAAATAAGCCACGAACTGCCGCGTCAGCCAATCCAATCGGACTTGCATTCGTAAGTGTCCCCAGATTAATGGTAGATTGGACGCTTGGACCAGGGTGGATGAATGGTGCTGTGGGCTACGGGCTGTGGGCTGTAACATGGTAAGGGTACGAGGTGCGGCCGTGAGCTTGGGTTTTGGGTTTTGGAGAACGTGTTCTTATGTGCGTTTGAAGATTTATTAAACTCTTGAAGAGGACAGAGAGAGAAAGAGAGTGAGAGGATAGATTTAATTCATTGATTCATTGATTGATTGATTGATTGATTGATACATCTGATTTGGTTCTCTTCGGTCTTGATTTACTATTTCTTTTTCTTTTTTGTTCACACGTACGTACTTCCTTTTTCAACCGGGAGCCGGATTTGGGAGTGGAGGGGACGTTGGATAGTTTGGGGGATTGCGATTGCGATTGCGATTGCGATTGTGATTGTGAGGAATATACACGGCTAGTCAGATAGCTGGACGGATAGGGCGCCGATGAATTGAGCTATTGAAGACGAGAAGAAAGACGGAAAGTAAATCCATTGGAGCAAAGAAGAGAAGAAGTCTGGGTTTCGCGCAAGAAAGTGGACGAACGAATAGCTTTTGCGATTCGATTGATTGATTGATTGATTGATTGATTGATTGATTGATTGATTGCTTGCTTGATTACTTGTACTGCGGAATTCCCAGCGCATTTCGAGGATTCGATTAAGGGAGGAAGGGAACAGAAAGGGAGACGGAGGATTCTTGCTGCTCTACTTAGACTTCGATATGGAGGGGTTACTGGAACTTCCAGTGCAGATATTGGGGGGAGTGTGGGAGATGGTGAGGGATACGCCGACGCACATATTAGGGTTGATTTTGATCGGGTTGGTGGGTTTAGGGTTGGGTTGTGTGAGTTTATCTTTCTTTTCTTTTGGGGGATTGGCTGGGGAGGGATTATGATTCTGATTCTCAGAGAGAGATTTATCTTCTGCGATGGATGGGAATTGGAATTTTTCTACTTCAAAAGTTTGGAAATCTTGCTAATACTCTACCCATCAGATATACGCCCTCCTCCTCCTCGTCGCGCCCGTCCCCAGAGCTCCCTACCCATCCGAAAAAACATACACAACCACCACTCCCTCTGGCACCACCGAAACCAAACCTCTAACCTGTTGGTACGATTCCTGGGTTGCGCATCGCGAAGCCTCAGTTTCAAAGAGTGGTTCCCCCTCGCAAAATAACATCCGCACTGGGGTCATCGAGCCGGCAACTCTAGAGATGAGTCTGGTGGTGCCGGCATACAATGAGGAAGAACGCTTGATAGGCATGTTGGAAGAAGCGCTGTCGTTTCTCGATACGACATACGGACGTGTGGCGAAAGGAAAAGGGACGGGTACGGGGTATGAGATTCTATTGGTGAATGATGGGAGTCGCGATGGCACGGTGGAGATCGCGTTGGAGTTTTCGCGGAAGAATGGCTTGCATGATGTTTTGAGGATTGTGACGTTGGAGGAGAATCGGGGGAAGGGGGGCGCGGTCACACATGGCATGAGACATGTGAGGGGGGAATATGCGGTGTTTGCGGATGCGGATGGAGCGAGTCGGTTTGCGGATTTGGGGAAGCTTGTAAAGGGGGTTAAGGAGGTGGTGGATGAGGAGGGGAGAGGTGTAGCGGTGGGAAGTAGAGCTTGGTTGGTGGGAAGTGAAGCGGTTGTTAAGGTATGTTTTTCTCTCTTTGATTTCCTCTTTTTTTTCACATCACACTCCATTGGGCGGAAATTGGTAGCATAGCAGGAGGAAAACACTTTATGTTTTCTTTTCTTTTCTTTTCTTTTCTTCTCTTCACCATACTCTATTTCCTACTTCTATCCATGCCCTTCCTACCCTCCCCATTCATCCATCCATTAAACTCCCCCTCTCCCAAAACAAAACAAAACTAACACCCCTCCCCCAATAGCGCTCCGCCCTCCGCAACACCCTCATGCATTCCTTCCACCTCCTCCTCCGTCTCCTCACACCCCCGCCACCTCCCGCATCCGCGACACGCAGTGCGGATTCAAACTCTTCACCCGCGCGGCCCTCCCCCACATCATCCCATACATGCATGCCGAAGGCTGGATTTTCGACGTCGAAATGCTCATGTTGGCTGAGAGTGCGCCGGGGGTGGGAGATGCAAGAGGAAAAGGAATCAAAGTTTCTGAACAGCCGATTGCGTGGCAGGAGGTGGGAGGGAGTAAATTAAATGTCATGTGGGATAGCTTGGGGATGGCGTGGGGATTGGCGGTGCTGAGAGGGGGGTGGGGGATGGGGGTTTGGAGGAGGAGGTGAGGTCTTGGGATGGGATGCGATGGGGTTGTGAGATGATTAGAAAAGCCTTGAGATCCAAGTTGCGATTTGATTTGAGATTGGGTGGGTGGGCAAAGTGGTCGTTTGATAGATAGATAATGGGTGCATAAATAGCTGGTTGATGGCTGGTTGACATACAAGGATAAATAAAAAGCCAAGGTGGGAATCGTATGTATATCTGTACATACATACATACATATATATAAAGAGCTTTTCACCACATTTCACCACATCACATCACATCACACCACGAAAAGAACAACCCGAGGTAAAGATGAATGAATGGCTGTAAGAAAGGGCAGGAAGAGAGTTTTTCATGTTTATTGTATTAATATACATACATACTATATGATATGATACACAGTGTATTGGGCGTTTTTGGGAGGGCTTCTTCCATTCCCTTCCCTCCTTCACTTAAAAGATGATCAAAGTATGCATTTCAGTGGATTCATTAAGAATGTTCCATAAAAAAGTATTAATTAGGTATAAGTATGTATGTAATCGATAAAAACGAAAGAAGAAGAATTTCATACATCTCCCCCTCTCCTCTTCTCCTAACCCAACGCCTGCATTACATGTATGCACATCTCTGAACAGTGATTGCATTTCCGGTAAATTCGCGGAAATCTACAAAAACCATACCCTTATTACCAGAATATAACTTTGTGAATCTCTCATCTATCATCTCTCGTAGTCATCTATTTTTTCTGTTCATCCATCCGGATGGACGTGCATCCACAACCTAGATGGATAATTCCTATTTCCCAGAATCAAATGAGCCCATTGAAGTGACCTATGACTTGATATGTACAGCCTTCACTTTCCCATTCGTCTGGGGCTGAGATAAGGCGAAGTAAACATTTACAGAGCCTTCTTTGCAATCTTTGCTTCCTTCTCCATCTTTCTCTCTCTTCTTCTCTTGGCAGCTTCAGGTCCACTCTCGGTATCCAAAACATAATCCCACCATCTGAAACTACTTGCGTAATTTCCGATAAACTTCTCATGATGAGTGTCGTGATGTTCAGCACCAGCCCAGAAAGGCAAGAAATGATGTAATGACCAAGGGAATTCGTATCCACTGTGAGCATCAATTGCTTGGAAGAGTCTGCACACGATCCAAATATACATAGTCAAAATGTGAAGGTTTCCAGTGAGCATAACCCAGAGAATTGGAGATCCGACAGTGCCGAGACCAAGAACCATAACTTCGATTGGCGATGCGTATTCAGCAGCGAGACCAAAGGGTGCAGAGTATTGATGATGAATTTTGTGGATTTTCTTGTAGAGCCATCCGTAATGCATGGCGCGATGCATCCAATAATGCCAGGTGTCTTCTAGAACGAAAAAGATGGCGACTTGATAGGCAATGGTGAAGAGAGATGGGAAAGGAACATCGGTACCCATTCCAAAGTATTTTGCCATTGGGTGGAAGAGGTAAATTTGAGGAAGTTCGACGGTGAAATGGGAGAGGAGAACGAGTTTTGTACATGTCCATTGTTCGGCGGCAGTAGGGATTTTATTCTGGAGAGGAGTAGTTAGTGACTGTTGGGTTGAAGATATTGATGTTGATGTTTCTGTATATGTGACGAGAGAAATTGGAAGTGTCTTACCCCTTGAATCTTGTATTTGTTGAAATAAGGAATTTGATCGATGATAATCCAAGGAAGACTTCGACCAAAGTAAAAGACTTCATGCATCACAAAACTCATGATACCGGTGGCGAGGACATCATTTTGCATGTAGGCATACCAACTCTATTGAAGAATTAGTAAGTGTATTTTGGAGAAGATTGAAGATACATCAATGGAAAGGAAAGGCAAAGAGAAACTTACCGCCCAGAGTCTTTCAAATATGTTGAGATGAACATTGTATTTACTCAACTCATCATAAATACCTAAGAAGGTTTCGGGAGTTGCAGAGATGGTTGAATTTGATAAGATGTCCATAGCTGCGAATTTAGCTATGGAAGAACGAAGGAAATCAAAAGATTGAAAGGAATTGTTGGTGTAGCCAGAAGGAAGAAAAAGAAGGAGGATATTGAAGTAGTAAAGTAGAGGTGTGTCAGGGTAGAGAATGAGATTAGATTGATTGATCGATCAATTGATCAATTGTTTATTTTAATATGGATCCTTTCCATTTGCCTGTCGAACCACAATTGGTTATCGGAAGGGAAAACTCCCGGTAAGGTGTAGGGTACGGCTCTTACCTGATTGGGTAAAGGAGAGAGACGATTGATATTTGTTCGACCGTTTTGGGAGGACGTGTCACGTGAATTGGTGGTACGGCTTGCGTGGATCGTGCGGAGTGTGATCTGTCGTGTTATCGGGATTTGAGATGGCGATGAATGGGATGGGATGGGCTCGGTGGGATGATTTTGATGAGTGATGAAGTGATGAATGAGCTGGTGTTTGAAACAGATACCAGATATTTGATTGATGATTGGTTGTCCGGGATATGAAATGAATCCTACGAGTCCATCAAGTATCGATTACCTAAGTTCAATGAGACCTAGATATCGCACAATCACCTCTTCAAGTCATCATCACACTTCACACTTCACACTTCACACTTCACTTCACACTTCACACTTCACACTTCTCACTTCTTCGTGTTCGTACCTGAAAATCCATCATGATCCAATCACATCCCTAGCATCTTTCCCAACTTTTACCCCTTTTTTCCATTCCCTGCATATCCGTACTAGTGCTTGAAAGATTTCTTCTGGAAGATGTTTATGTAATCCCTCTTTTCAGTTTTTCACTCGTGACTTGAGCCACTTTACTTGAGCCACTTCACTTGAGAAACCTTCACTCTTCACTCTTCCACTCTTCCACTCTTCCACTCTTCCACTCTTCCACTCTTCCACTCTTCCACTCTTCCACTCTTCCACTCTTCCACTCTTCCTCTTCCGATCCAAAGCACTCCCTCGCTCCCTCAATCATAGATACTCCCACGTGATATCCCAAGACACCTTCCTGTAGAAACTTTTCACCGATGCCAAGCCAAGATAGCTTAATCATCATCATCCATTGGAAATCTCATCCAATCATCTTCCATCCCGGGACATAGAAATCCCCTACCGCCACATTGGATTTTTACCAGGGGGTGCAGTAATAACCATAATTTTGATCTTTCATATGACAATAATCTACCCAGGTACCGCCCTCCATGGGCTAGAGAAGTCTAGAAATCAAAGAACAGAGAAGGCTAGGGTGGGAATTTCGATCGTAAGATTTTATGGAAATACACTCATCATCTATCAGTTCATCTTGACCCTGACGGATACTTGGGGTATCCAAAAAGAGTGAGAGAGAGAGAGAGAAATCAGCTCATTGCTTGCTTGTTTGATATCATTCATTGTTCATTGTTTTTATTGACACATACCTAGTACATACCCATACCATTTTGATTTTTGGAAGTCCCTTTTTTATACCGACAATTAATGACGGGATATGTTATATGTTGATTCTTAACATCCATCACTCGCTCATTCACTCATATGATTAATTGATTGATTGATTCACACTCAAGAGTCATATACGAAGAATTGCTGTCATACCTTCCTTCCTTCCTTCTCTTCCTCTTATAGCAGACATTATATCTGCACACCTTACTCACCACCTACATACTCTCATACCTATCTACTTGTCTACTTCTCTACAACATCCTCACACATACCAACCCCCAAATCCAAAATGTCAAAACCTTACACCATACAATCCGCAAACGAAGAAAGACGTCGCGTTTACCACGAAGCAGATGTAGTCGTAGTCGGCGCGGGTATATTCGGTTGCGCAATAGCTTATGCACTTGCCCAACAAGGTCGCAGTGTGATTCTTCTCGAACGTTGGCTTAAAGAACCTGATCGTATAGTCGGCGAACTTCTCCAACCGGGTGGTGTTTCCGCTCTCGAAAAACTTGGACTCGCACATTGTTTAGAAGGGATTGATTCGATAAGGGTGAAAGGATATGAAGTTATATATCATGGTACACCCGTCTCCATACCTTATCCACCAAATGCCGGCGCGGCACAAGAAGGAGGGTTTAGAGGATCCGAGAATGAAACGAGTACCAGGCCAGAGGGAAGAAGTTTTCATCATGGAAGATTTATCTCGCAATTAAGGAAAGCTTGCGCGAGTCAACCCAATATCACAATTGTCGAAACAGAAGTTACGGAAACCATAACCGGTGGACACAGCTCAACTCAAGTCCTAGGGGTCCACACACGAACTACAAATCCAACCACGGGCGAAAAAGAAGCAGATTGTTATTTTGGTCATCTCACAATCATCGCAGATGGATATGCCTCCAAATTCCGCAAGCAATACATCAACAAAACCCCAGTGGTCAAAAGTAAATTCTACGCTCTAGAATTAATAGATTGTCCCATGCCAGCTCCCAATCATGGAATCGTGGTCCTCTCAGACGTCTCCCCAGTCCTCCTCTATCAAATCGGCACTCACGAAACTCGCGCTCTAATCGATATTCCCGACAACATCCCCGCTGCATCTGCCGCTGCAGGTGGCGTACGAAATTATATCCATGCTGTCGTCCTCCCAGTCTTACCACCACAAGTTCGACCCTGTTTTCTCAAAGCCCTCGAAGATGGAAAAATTCCCCGCAGCATGCCAAATAGTTTTCTACCTCCCTCGACCCAAACTCAAAAAGGAGTTCTCCTCCTTGGTGACGCAATGAATATGCGCCATCCCTTAACTGGTGGTGGCATGACTGTAGCCTTCAATGATGTTGTTCTCTTATCCTCTTTACTTTCTCCCTCCAATATCCCCAATCTAAACGACACGGTCGCTATAAGTAAAGCTATGAAAGAATTTCACTGGCGTCGCAAATCTCTTTCCTCTATCATCAATATCCTCGCTCAAGCTCTCTATGCACTTTTCGCAGCTAACGATCCACAACTCAAGGCATTGCAAAAAGGATGTTTTCATTATTTCAAACGAGGTGGAAATTGTATAGAAGGTCCTGCAGGATTATTGGCGGGAATTATTAGACAACCGTTAGTATTGATTTATCACTTTTTTTCAGTGGCAGTGCTAGCGATTTGGATCTTGATGGGAGATATTATGGGAGGGGTCAAGGGGATTTGGAAGGCTCCGTTGGCGATAGAACAGAGTATGGAGGTTTTTTGGAAGGCGTGTGTGGTTATCGTTCCATTTATGTGGAGTGAGATGAGAAGTTAGGGGAGGGTGGATGTTATGATGTGGTGTGGGAAGGGAAGAAGGAAGTTGTAATGTTTGATGAAAGAGATGATGAGATTGCGGAATGTGTTTGATGATTAGAGATGCACATGGTACAATCAAGATGATGGAAGTTCTTTATGGCTAGTCATTCTATCATGTTCTATTGTGTTTCTGATAGCGAGCGAAGCTTTATGTGTTTAGGCATGTTATGGGCGTTTAATGGGTTAAAGAGGAAGGGAAGAAAGGGAGATGATGAAACAGAAGTCGCATTGAGATCCTTTCTTAAATTCGTAGAATACATCTGTATGCATGCATACAGAGTTCTTGATAGATAAAGAGGCAGAGGAACAGAGAGACAGATAGATAGCGATGGAGATCCTACATAACTTATAATGAACATAATAATACTCAGTCTGGTTTTGATATTGTTGTTATTGTTAGAGTTGTTGTGTGGTGTTGTATTATATCGTATCATCTCCATGACTTTTATTTAATCCATCCCCTCCATCTCCTTAATCTTTCTTTACTACTATCTTCATCGTCTACTATCTCCTCTATCTCTTTCTATTATTATTATCTTCTCATACTATTATCTTCTTCTCCTCCTACTACAACCTTCATCTAGCATCTAGTATCTGTGATCATAATCTCACAATCTCCTCCACCTCCACCTACAATCTCACCATCTCACCATCTTAGAAAACGAAGCGAAACCAAGCGAAGCGAATCCCTTTCTACTTCTCTCTCCCCCCTTTCATATTCATCTCCTTCTTTCTCTTTTCAGCCCTGCATCTAATTTCTATTTTTCTATCTAACTTTTAATTTCTATTCTCTATTTAACTTCTACCCTCCATCTAACTTCTACCCTCCATCTAACTTCTACCCTTCATCTTATGTTCAATCTCTAAATATATATACTACTTAATCTATCAACTCTTTTTCGTTTACTTTATTTGCTTTATTTGCTTTGTTTATTTCATCTACTTCATCTTTATATTTCACATGTCTACAAACATAAATATAGATACAAATACAAATACAAATATATCTAATCAACTATCTCTCTAGATAAACAGAAAAATGAGAATTATTAATTTACCTCTCGTCCTCGATCTCGATCTCGATCTCGTTTCCTTTTTCTTTTTTATTCTTTTTGGTTTTTTGAGTTCTTAGGTTCTTAGGTTCTTAGGTTCTTGGGTTCTTAGGTTCTTATTCTTGAGTTTTTCTTAGGGGGGGATTAATTTCTTCATTTCTGGATCTCTTGAGCTTTTATATATTGGATATGAATCTGTTTTCTTTTTTGAAACTTGTTACTAAATTTCCTCTTGAGTGTTTGTTTTTGAGTGTTCATTTTTGAGTGTTTACTCTTGAATGTCTATTCTTGAATGTTTACTTTTGCCATACCTACTCTTGTTATACCTTTATTACTTTTTATCTCGATTTTTGTTTTTAAAGGGTAGATTTCTTGATAGTCTCTTTTAAATACTCTTTTAGATATTCTCTTATACTCTCTTATATACTCTCTTATATACACTTCATCTATACCTTAACCTACCTCAATCCTCTCTCTTAAACCCTAAATCTACTCCCCTATCTTTCTCTACACTACCCTTCTTCCCTTTTTGTATCATTCTTTCCTTTTCCTTTTCTCTCCCCCTTCCAATACCCTTCCCCATTTCTTTCTTCTTCCAAACTCAACTCTCTCTCATTATATCCTTTCATTTTTGCCCTATCTTCTCCTTGTATATCACCACATTTTCTCCTCCCCTCCTTTCAACCTTTCACTCTCTTCCCTCGAAATTCTTCATCCCCTCTCATCCTCTTCATCCCCCTTTACTTCTTTCTTTCTTTCTTTCTTTCTTTCTTCCACCTTTGTATTTTCTATCCTTGCCTCTCAAAGTCCTTTGTTTTTGTTCTTATTTCTAATTCTAATTCTATTTCTATTTCTAACTCCATTTCTAACTCCATTTCTAACTCCAATCCCCCAAATCTTACTCGCCTCAATACCTCAAATAGATTAGTTACTCTTATCATAAGTATTTGCTATTCAATAACTATTTGATAGTTAATACTCAATACTTTTACTCATACTTATACTCAATACTCAATACTCAATACTCAATACTCAATACTCAATACTCAATACTCAATAGCTATCAACAATCTAAATCTAAACCTAAATCCAATTCACTTATAAATATCCCATTCCATCTCATTCCATTTATCAATATCATACAGTATTATATTAGATCAAATTATCAAAAATCAGATCATCAACCTCACACCCTCACTTCACAATCTCACAACCTCATAATGTTATAGAAATCCAGAAATCCAGAAATCCATTCATTCAAAGGGAATACTCAGAGAGAAACTCGTCAAAGCCTTAGGAAGAGTAAAGCGGAAAGAAAAGGAAAGGAAAAGGGGGAAATGAAGCCCAGATATCAATATCAATATCAATATCAATATCAAAATCAAAGAATAAAAAAGAGATACATCCATTTCTTCCTCTCTCCCCTCTCCTTCCTTTCTTACTACTATACAGAAAACCAGTCATCTCACTCTATCCTCCTTACTACATCGAGAATTATCCATAACCTCCCTTATTCATATCATTATCATCATCAATCATCGTCATCTACAATCTCCTTGATTCATTCTCAACCTCCCTCCTTTATCATTCTTCCTCTTCTTCTTAGCCAATTCTTCTTTCTTTTGACCAGCTCTATTTAGCCAATATCTCTTGTTTATCTTCATCTCCAACCTCATCCTCTTAGCCACTTCTTCATCCTCTTAACCAATTCATCCACATCCACAACCTCCTATATCATTTCCCTTTAGCCATTTCGTTCTAATCAGCTTCTTTATTCTCAACCTTATCCTCATCTACAACCTCATCCTCATCTTCTTAACTGATTCCTCTCACTGGCCAGTTCCTCTCAACCAATTCCTCTCATTTAATTCCTTTTAACCACTTCCTCTTCCTCTTAGCCCCTCGATCCTCACCCACAGTCTCCCTTCTTCATCATTCTTCCTCTCCCTTTTCCCAATTCCTTTAACCAATCCCTCTTATCCACCATCTTCCTCATCCTCTCATTCAGCCCCTTTCATCATCCACATCACCGTTCTCATCCCCATTCTCCCTCTCCCTCTCTCCCTCTCTCCCCCTCTCCCTCCCCTCACCCTCTCACTAGCCAAATAGCCAGCAATACTATACCTACACACCAACTAAGAAATACTCAAAAGTATCATTAAATTAGTAATATTATATTGTATCACATCATATCACACATCACATTATATATCACAAACAACATATACACATATACACATATACACATATACACATATACACATATACACATATACACATATACACATATACACATATACACATACATATAAACATTTAATACTAAACTCTCAAAATATTGAAATGTCAACATCAGTAAAAATTAATAATAATAAAAAGGAATATTAAGGAATCACTCATGCTACCTTTCTCGCTACACTCCTATACTACCCGTCTCCCCCTCTCTCTACACCCCCAATATCCTCTCCCTCTCCCTCCTCTCCTCCCCTCCATCTCTCTTCCCTCCAACACAGAAAACATAATCATTTGATATTCTAACATTACAAAATTCTAACATTACAATACAAAATAACATAAGAAAGTAGTAAATCAATAAATCAATATATCAATACATAGAAAACTAGCTACCTACCTACCTACTACCTATCAAATTCTCACTTATTCACTCTCGCCTTTCCCCATTTACTTTTTTACTTATCCATCTACTCACCCCCTATTCATTACTCACCCACTCACTCACTCACTCACTTACTTATCCATTACTCACTCACTCACTCACTTACTTATCCATCTACTCACTCAATCACTCACCCCCTACTCCCATCTTCCATCCCCAAGAATCTACAATCGCCTACACAAACCCCAAGATTCCACACTCACTTCTCTCCTCCCCCTCCTCTCCTTCCATATACCAAATCAACCATTCGTACAATCACATACCACCCAACTACATTAATAAAGAACGACGAGATAGATAAATAGATAAGAAGATAATGTATAGTAATTGATTTTAGAATAATTTCATTTGTATATGAATCATCCACTCATTATCCATTCATATACTTCATTCATGAAAAGAAGATTTAGTATCTTTACTTTCCTCCCATATTCCCCCTCACCCCTCACCCATCACCCATCATCCATCACTCTCACTATCATCCATCACTCTCACTCATCACTCCATCCACTGATTCTCCATTCATCTACCTTCCAATCTGCAACCCCCTAGTCTCATCTCCAAACATCCATCCATCATAACATCATCATCATCATCTTCATCATCGTCATCACCAACTTAGCAAGAGATCAAGAAAGACAAACAAAAATCGCAGAAAAAATTCGGCAGATGAGAAAATCCATTGTTTAATATTTAGCAGGATAGGATATTTAGTAGCCAACTTTAACGAGATAATCGACCAATTTTTGAACAGTCTCTGCGGTGTTTCCGGCGATCATTGGGTCGACGTATCGGGCTACGATGATTGCTTGAACGGTTTTACCGATGACGAGTCCATCTTTGCCCTAAATTTTGGAGAGTTGAATATTAGTAGAGATTCCGTGTATTGATTTGATGAGGATGTATTTGAACATGTCGTATATTGTGGTTGTGGAAAAATTGTTGCGAGTTTGGAGATGATGATAGACAAGGCTGAGATAATCTATGAAAAGAGAAACATACCTTTCTGGCATAGAGCACCTTATTATCATCCTCCACCTTTGTGAGAACATATCTCTCGCCTGCAATGTGTAAACCATTTGCATATAGACTATCGGTTTTACCATCAAGTCCCTTTTTGACCTCAGTCATCTCTTCAGGGGTGATCTACATGATTTATGTCAGCGCCTGATATCTGAGTGAGATTTTGTATACGTGTGCTCTATCCGCATTTTCTGATCATAAACCCATCTGCCAATGCCCAAAAGTAGCCTCGCAGATGTATATATGAAATGGGTTCGAAAGCGGGATAGATGTGATATCGAGAAAAGGTAAAACCGTACCTGGAAATCAGGACTGGTGGCCCAGCAAGAGGTTCCCTCCAAATTGTAAATAGCTCCCTTCTCAACATGTCCGCTTCCGCAAAGACTATTATTCCCATCAGTTTCCTATTCGCTTTTATTTGTTCTCGTGGTTTGTATGATGGATTTCGTACCTTGAGTCGATATAAGCTATTGAGAATCATCAGTAAATGCTTCTTTCCCACAGGATTCCAAAGACATAGAGGGGTTCCAAGGAGGGGTAACAGCACCCTCAGCTCCACCATTTCAAGAGGAAAAGATTCAACATACCCTGCCACGACATCTTTCAGAGAGTTAGATTTGTTGATGAGAAGATTCTTTCGTTAAATTCTTGCGATGATTTGGATATCACCGGATATTGATCGAGGTAGTGGGAAGATGAGTTGGTGATAAATTTTGATGGTGGTTGGATCCAGTTTATGTTTCTGTAGAGTAACGTGAAGGTAGGTCGTAGGTGATATACCTCGCTTGTTTAGTTTGATGGCTGGCTTTTGGTGGGGTTGGTTGAAATGGATGAGTTGTTGTTTGCGGTGTGTGAAGAAGAAAGTCTTGAGAGATGAATGGATGCAATCATATAAAGTGGTACCTTTTTGTTTTTGTTTTTGTTTTTGTTTTTTTTTGTTTTTGATGGTAGTTGTGGTTGTGGAAGTGATTATGGTTGTGGTTGTTGTGTTGTTCTTGCTATTGCAAGATGATTGGAATATGGAAGAGAGAAGAGAATAGGGACGGTGAGTGAGGAAGGATCACTACGTACTTAGAGAGATAGATGATATATTACTTTGAATGCAGCAGGAGACGGGAGTATAACAATACATTCAATTCAATCTGACAGTTCAACACTCTTTGCTAGCTAGGTATCTTGCCTAGTATCGCCCCTCAAGATCTAAACAACCATGACCGAATATCATATCCCCATTAAACGACACATCCCGCTGTCAAAGCAAAATAAAGCATAGCAGTGACGAAATCGATGAGGCTTATTTTGTGTGAAGCTCTCCTGAAGGATCTCGATTGTGAATGTATGGCTGCTTTACTTATGTCCCGGTCGATGTAACGTATAATAAGACGAAGAGCATCTGAAGCTTTTGTCAAACTTGGAAGCAGTGATATGTAATCTTACGACGAGTAATGTAACGGGAGCTGTAGCTACGCATAGCTACATTACATCCAACGAGATGGAAGAACGGCTCTGATCTCTGAGCAATGCAATGAATGCTATGTTATGCATAAGTTTCAGCAGTCATCTGAATAGAGCAACAGATGCAGCATCGGCAGGTATCCCGCATGCCATGCTCGGCTCAAGAACATTCACAAGTCTTCACGCTCACTGACTTACAATCAACCTCAAGTCCTCAAGCTCACTGACTTACACTCATCCCCAAGTCTTCAATGGAATGTTCCGCCGGTGAGCAAGACATGCATCGTGAGATGGCAGATGGAGTATCGATGATTCATAACTACGGACTCAATCCAAGCATCATACTTGTACGTGGCAATCGACTCCATTCCCTTCATAAAGAAGAGTCCCCAGCGGAGGGAAATTGAATGGTTTTGGATAACACATGAACGGTGAACCTTATATCTTCAACATTGGCGCCATCACAGATCAAAGGGTAGTCTTTCCTCTCGACACAACAAATCGAAACTGATCTCAAAGAGGAACCCCGATTCCGAAGAGCCGAATTAAGATTTTACTTCATCAACCTTCATATCGACGAACCAATTAATACACTTTCTCTCATTTCACCTTTTCGGTCCATTGTCAAATTCTCCGAGATATATACATATAAATTTGGCACAGTCACGCGTATACAAAACGGTGGTCGTCGTGTACATTGTGGATTTTGATATCTTTAAAATTGCTATTAATTTATGAGACCTCATTTCTGGATTTCCAAACCCGTTTCCGGATCGTGGCAAATCTACGGCGACATGGAGGATTTCATGAGAATTGTCGGTCCAGATACTTGGGATTATATTGTACAATTTTCTTCATAATAACTTTCGTGCAAATACTTCTTGGAGCCCGAGTCCAGACACACCAAGGTATCTACAGAAAATCTTTACCCCAATCTAAATACAACCAGTACACAACACAACCCCTCCAAGATCAGCACACATCATACGATTCTCCCCAAACCCTCGAAAGTCACATCTTATCGTCGCAGATCTTTTTGAAACCCGCTTGGTTGATAGGCTTGCCAGGCTTGCCCACCATTATTTCCCAAAATCTTTTTCACGAAAAGGCATTCCTTCCATCGGGGAGAATTTGCTTCGTCATCAGAGATTCATCAAATCACCGGGTTCGAGGCTTTGGAGGTGGAGACTCGCTGATATCTTCTCAATGAAGCTTTTGTCTTGATTCTCGTATTGAGTGGGATAATGTAAGAATGTATAAATGTAAAAACTGCGTCGGTCTTGGAAAAGGAGACAATGTGATATAACATCGTTGCTATACAATTTGGTCAGGAGAGTCCAATTTTCAGCTGGCTTCACCAAGCCTATCAATCATAGACAACACAACAGCATTCCCCTCTTCGGCGCCTGGAAATTACCTTTACTTTTATCGTTGTTGGTCTGCAGGAGCCGCGCCCCCAGATCGCATCTTTGCGAACATATACCGGTTGCTACGTTGTTCGAAAACCCTGGCTACTGGCTACTGGCTCTTGGATATTGTAGATCTTACGGAATGGTTGTTGACCTGTGATTGATACATACGAGGATGTGATTTGCTTGTTTGTGAGCTTAAATCTTTGTACTATGGATAACCTCATTTTGTCAAAGACTTGTGTGTAAAAGTAATTTAGGAAAAATTATGAATGCGACGGAAATTCTAGAAACTAGAAATGGACCAAATGATCATCGAGATGTTTTCAAGAAAGGAAGGTCTTGGTAAAGGCAAGGTCTAGGGCTTGCTTGCTTGCTTGGACTTCTCGATTGTTTCGTCTCATCGCAAATTCATGCGATGAAGGAGGTAGGCGAGACAGACCCTCGAGAGACTCTAATACTAGGTATTCCAAGATGCCCAGTAAACATGGAGATCATATCCATGAAATGCTTGTGATGATCGTTGCCTCAAGAACAATCTCCTTCCTAATATTCCTGGCTCCTACCGTGTGGACTACGGAAATGCAGAGCTGATGTTACCGCGAGGTCAGCGGAGATTTAAGTACAGATTGTACTTGGATAGCTGTACCTTGCCTAGTCTGTATGACGATGGGGTACTAGGTAGATAGGCAACGGGTTCTTCGCCGTTTCATTAGAAGAGGTATTAGATGCGAGGACTAAAATGACCAAACGGTTCGATGTCCAAATGGCCAAATCCAGAAGATCTAACTATTCGAACAACCCCAATTCCAAGAGACGAACGCCATCATAGGTCGCGTCTTAAACATTCAATTTCTTTCATATATACATTTGCAGACTGCCTTACCTATGGAGCCGCTTCATCTCATTCGAGCTTCCCACATGAAAGACCCCTCTTCATAACAATTTTGGCAATTATATCTTCATCTTATCATTGGATCACAACGAGGATTGTAAGATTAATGCATCTCCACAACAAACCTGGTTCTAATCTCTGGGATTCTGATACGCGATCTCATTCGCTTGTCTTCACTGCCAGCATCCTCAAGGCCTCAATGAACAAGGAAGACAAAGGTTACTATATATTTTTCAACCACATTCTACCCAATGCCAACGGCCAATTTTATATCAATGTGTATAACACACCGGATGTAAGAACATTAGGGATGCATGTCAAAATAGCAACCTTATATTACCACACAACCACATTTTGGGTTTTGGATATCCCAAACATCTTGAAATCCAATTTCCTTCCAGAACAATATCTGTAGTAAATTCCCAGTGCCAGTCAAAACAATCATTTGGTACGGAACGGAAAATCTTCCCTGCTCCAAATCACAATCCACCAGGAATTTAGGAGCAAATCATCTAGACATCTAGACTCAACAGCTGGGCAATCTCATCCCATGTCTAAAAGGGCTCAAATCGTTGTAGGAATCCTAACATTCAATAAGCCACCTGAAGGCCTTTACTCATCCTAGATAGCTGATTAAATGTGCTACGTCAAGGTTGGCTACACACAAATTGACAGCTTTTTATGATTATTATACTACTTGTAAGGTCATTGTGAACCCCCCCACTCGCTTGGCCTCGCCTTGTCCAGAATCAACCCCTTCCCCTTGTCCTCTCTCTAAATCTCCAAATTAAACGTCCCATTTACATCAAACAATTACAATATCCCGAAGTACCCCATCTCTTCTTGCCTGCTTTCACTTACAGGGCTGAAGGAGATGTGCGATGCAACTAACAGATAAGTCATGTAACCATTTTCCTTGATCATTTTTGTTATACTTTTCTCCTCTTCTTTGTCATATCTTCGATCTCTTGTCGATTTCTCTCTCTGGTAAAGAGTATTCCACTCTTTCTATTTATCTGCTTCTCCGCGATTTGTTCTCGCGATTCAAGGGTCTCCTGGTGTTACCTGTCCACTCCTTTAAGAAATATATTCGTTCAATATACTCGTTTCACCATTTACATCAGTCACATCACATTTCATCATTGTCAACAAAAACACTCGAGTAGACCCATTTTATCGGTTCAAAAAGGCACGAAAGTTCAGGCTCAGACCCAGGGTTATACACTATGTCGAAAAATATAACTAGGTCGAAGTCGGTGATGTCTCGTTTTAGAGGTCGAGATGCAACAGCCTCTAGTGCTTCACTTCACGTTACAGATGATGCACAGGCCAGGGATATTGATAAGAATACATTCCAAAAATTCGAACTTGGTCGCGAAGACCGGCTTAAACTTCCACAGAGACCATCAACTTCAGGTGGAACAAAAAAATCGACAGGAAATTTTCCCAAGAGGGCTCATACTGTCAAGAGAGAAACACGGGATGATCTATTTTTCAACCCTTTGACGGCACATGGAATAGACGGACCTACGTTTTATAACTTTCCTTTACCTTCTACTCGACCCCCACCTTCACCAGTTGTACCAGCTGTGCCCCAAATGCTTGCACCTTCACCACGACCCTACAGTCCTGATTCTATCAAGACAAGTAGGACTGCTCAACCTAACGTTAGTGAACTTGAGATTGGTATGGCACTTGGAAGTCCTTCACACCCACCAGAAAACTGGCAACAAGGTCAACAATCTCTCGGCATGGAACCAGTCCGTACTCTGGATCCAATGGACGACATGTCTCATTATGCCGATTCTATTGTTGCTCCGAAGCAAAAGAAAGGTCGGAAGTGGTTTGGCTTATTTGGAAGTAAGAAGGAAAAGACACCTGCATCATTCTATCAACTGAAACCAGAATCACAACAAGAAATCCCAACGAGTGATCCTTCCTCACCAGAGACTAAACGTACTGGTAGATCTCGTGGTCGTTCAACTTCTAGTAAAACTGGTAAGAAACCTGACATGAAAAGATCGCAAACGGCACCAACGACGCCGGGTTTACAACCTTCCTTCCAATCTTCAACCTCAACAAGTATTCGAGCAGGAACTCCAGATATTCGTGTTCAAGGTCCTATTGGAGTTGAAGTTCTACGATCATACCCTAAAGTATCACCCGAAGGACCAAAACTTGACCTTGCACTTCCTTCGGTACAGATGGAAAGGTATAGTGTTATGTTTGGGGACATTTTACAAAACCCTTCCACTACCACCTCCTCATTACTTCAAAGACGCCAAGCAACACTTGATAGACTCAAGAGTGTTGAAGAAGCACTTGCGAATAAGGTTTGATATTCTTTCTATCATACTTGAACCACACTAACAACTTGAATCAGGAAGCAGAACTTGAGGCTCGTACAAGAGCACTCACCAAACGTAGGGCTACCTCACCACAACCAAATCACAACAGCCCATCATTCTCTCTCTTTCCAAACACACCCTCAAGACAAGGCAATCGTGAAAGCTCACCAACAAGAGAAAAGTCGTCGCTAAATAGATCCAACACCTCACCCGCCGCCCTATCTCCCTCTAGACCTTCATTCGCTCCAGGTTTAGATAATGATCTCCACGCCAATCTTGTGATTGATGACGAAACCTCCACTAGTTGGCGTGGACATGAACACAACGATTCTTCATCAAGTACATCTACTCAGAAACCACGCAAACAATCAGCAAGATCATCATCGAGTTCTCCAAGATCAAGACCTCAACTCCAATCAGCACGTACTTGGTCACCAGACGAATCTCAACTTTTATCTCCATCGTCCGCCGAAGAATCAGAAGCCGATGCACGTTCCATTAATGGTCAAGAAAGAGAAGATTTATATGCCACTTCGCAATTAACAGCAACCAAATCAAGGTTTGAGGAAAGAGAACCAACGTGGCAGATGATCAACTCCAAGAAACAAAATCACGGAGCCCCATCCTCGATATCGGGATCGACGACTAGTGAAGCTAGCACGGTATCGTCATCAAATTCTACTTCATCATTCTCAAGTGTACCGGGTGGTTTCACCACAAACACAATACCCATAATGCTTGAGCATGAAAAAGTGAGAGAGAGAGGTTCGAGGAAAGCATCACCAACACACATTCAATCTCCTCAAAAGGGTAAAGAAACAAAAATCTCCGTTAAATCTACTCCTGGTCCACGACCAATTATTTCAGCTTTCAATACCACCACTCGATCATCAGAAAATGCACCTCGTCCTATCCTCAAATCTCCCACATCCGAAGATCAAGGTCTGAGACCTAGACCTAGACCCTCAATCCAACAATCATCCTCCAGTGCATCCCTCATGTCACCTCGTCCCTCACTCCAAAAATCTCCCATGTCATCATCAACCACCACCTCGATCTCCTCCCCACGAAAAATCCCCCTTCCCGCCTCTCCCCACCCCCCACGCACCACCTCCACCATCTCCCCCCTCCCCGACTCCTCCACCCACCAAAAACAAGAATCCACCTCCTCCATCACCCCCTCCCTCCTCTCCCTCCAATTCGACGACGACCCAGAATCCCTCTCCGTTCCCCACTCCCGCACGCGAGACCCCGAACAAAAACGTCTCGAATCCGCCGCCGGCGTTTCCATCGCGCGACAAATCTCCGTCTCGAGACAACAGCGTCAATTACTCATCCCGATTAAAACTAGCGGTACGGTATCGAAACGCAATCGCGAGAACTCTCCCGCTCCCGGCTCCGGGATTCGAAGTCCTGTTTCCGGGGGGAGTGGGAAAAAATTCATCACGGGGGAGGATGTAAATGCGAAGAAAGGCTCGCCGCTGGAAAGTGTAACGGAGTTGAGTTTTCGCGGGGGTGTGCTCTCTTCACCCTCATCATCATCCTCTTCGTCGAAAGGACAAAGCGGAAGTGGAAGTTTGGGGAACTCGGGGAACGGAAATAGGATGGAAATTGGTATCCATAGCGACATCAAAGTAAAACAAACTTCCAAACCTTCCACGCCGACATTGGTCGTGGTCCCCGGAGTCGAAGAACAATGGGGTGCGGGAATAGCTAGTTCGGGGGGCTTGATGAGTAGCAAGGAGAGAGTGGAAGCGATGATGAATGGCAGTCGTGGGAGTCCGCTGCTGGGACAGCAGGGTTGGGAGGAACAGGGGGGGAAAATGTTGAGTGGGAAGCCGAGGACGGAGTTGGGAACGGGGCATCAACATAGGAGGAGTGAGAGGGTGGTTGTTTTGGAAGCTTGAGCTTGAGCGGAGCTTGGCTTGGCTTGAGGAGGAGGAAGGGGGGATTCTTCATTTATTAATTTCTTTTATTTACATACTTATACATAGCCATAGTCGCACATAGTCACACATCTCTTTCTTTCTTTCTTTCTTTCATCCCAGGGGATTCAAAAGAAGGAAGAAGAAAGGGCGCGGGAAGGAAAGGAAACTAGAGGAAAGGCAGAAAAGGAAAGGAAAGGAATTCAAGGAAGAATCTGGGGACTTGCTTGCGGTCCAGCATTTACGAACGCATTGTTTCATATTTCTATCGTTCGACGTCACCACCACCATTATCATTATCATTATTATTATTCCACATCGTATCGGGAAGGAGTGAAGGAGTTTGAATAGCGATCGATGATGGGGCACAACTGAATACAAAGTTACAAATTTACACATGTGTCGCCATTTCTTGTCTTGCTATCTCGTTACATGCTTTTTTGCAAATATGTTTGTTTGCTTGTATATATATATATATTTATTCATATTTATATTCATGTGCACATCTATTCCACGCTCCGAATATATGGTATTTCATTTCTGAAGATCTGGATTGTAAGAAAGTACGCATGCACACAATGCAAGCAATGTACTAGCAATCAATAATCCATATGTAATTCATGTATTCTACATATCCTATCTCATTCCATCCTATCTTACTTATTACTTAGATAGACTAGGTAGGTAAATATCTATTCCTCATTCACACTCCCTCCTTTCTAACCCGCTACACCACACCACACCAGATACTTCTCCATCATATTCTCCTACTATTAATCTGATATAAGTATCTACCCGATCCTAACCATCCCGACCCCTCAATGTATATCTCCCCTACCCAAAAGCCACTCCATCCCCCAAAATGAACACCCTCCCTACTGATGCAAAGAACAAAACAAAACAAAAAACGCCTCGTATGTATGTATGCGTGCATTCATTTCCCTATCATCACAACTCTCCCGCCCACCTCTTATTGACCTCTTACCCATCCGCCCCTAGTCTATCACATGAATTCAAATCAACCCCCTCACCCCTTATATAGACACAAAATACAAATGCCCCGAATGAAAACCGAAAGCAGAAACAAACCAAAAATCATAACATCAAGAAGAAAAATAAAGTAATAAATAAAAAGGGTATCAACTCTCTTTCTCTCTCCATCTCTCACTCACTCATTCTTCTCCCTTTCTCTGTTTCGAGCTCACTTTCTTTCGAACCTCGGAGTCAACTATCCAATATCGATATCCAATCCTCTGAAGTGGAATTTCGAATCTCGGTTATGGCGACCAGGCTACTATCAAAAGAGGCGAAGAATGATTTATATGCACCATTCTTTCTTTGCTCCTCCTTGCCTAGTATCTGATGACAAAAGATCCGGGTGAAGAAGTGCTTTTTCGTGATATAGTAGTCAATCGAGCCACCCATCTTTCAACAGAATCTCTAGAAGCTCCACCGCACTCTCTTCTTATAAAATAGAGTCTTCCTTATCTCAACAACATCTCCCCCTTCTCTGAACCTCACCCCCCTCACCCCTCTCTTCATCCCTCCTCTCCCTCCCATCCGCATTCCCATTTCCATATGTACTCCCAATCCGCACTCCCGTCCCAGCATCACTCCCCCCAAGCGGCGTCCCCCCTGTTAGCCCCAGCAACCAACTCCTCCTGTCTCCTCTTCCCACTCTAAAACTTCCCCCAGGCCTCATGATCCCATCAAAATATCCTGTTTGCCCCTCTATCCCCATCCCATCATTCCCCATACCAGGCGTACCGGGAGTCGCTACCGCACTCAAAAGTTGTTCTTTCATCTTGTTATTCTGTTCCACAAGTTTTCTCGTGATAACTCTAAAAACCTCTTCCACGCCCTCTCCACTCTCCGCACTAACTTCATGACAACAATCCCATCCCACTTCCATACCCCAGAATCCAGAACTTCTCTTACTAGAAGGCGATCGTGCACCTTCTATCCCCATCGTGCCTTGACCACCAGATCCCCACACTCCACCTCCGGCGCCGCCCCAACTGCCGAAACCACGTTCTCCTAAAGCTGTAGCAGGTGGTGTGCTGCCTAAAATAGATGTGACGTTTTCGGCTACATATGCAATGCATCTCTCGAATGGAACTTCTCTTGCACTAGGATCTTTAGCAACGAGATCAGCTTTGGTACCTACGACATGGAGGATGATATCCGCAGGAAGATTGCGACGGAGTTCGGTAAGCCAGACGGACATTTCGGTGAATGAGGTTTGGGATGTGATGCTGTAGCAGAGGATACAAGCATTTGCCCCGCGGTAGTAAAGGCGGGATATGGATCTATAGATTAGGAATTAAGTCGTTAGCATGACATCTTGTATTTGTATTGTTCTTGTTCTTATCCCCATTTCTCAATATGTGACACCCCCCTCTCCCCCGTTCACCCATCTTTCCCGTCAACTTCTCCTCACACACACAACCTCCCCTCGCCCCAAGAAATTTCCACACCAAGTACATACCTAAATCTTTCCTGCCCCGCCGTATCCCAAATCTGTAATCTCACAACTGTATCACTCTCGGCATCCACCACTCTCTTTGTCAGAAAACTCGCCCCCACGGTCGACGTCGTAGTTTTCGGATTGAATTGATTTTTTATATATCGAAGAAGGAGTGATGTTTTGCCTACGCCTTGGGCGCCTAGCACTACTATCTTGGCTTCGAGAGAGGTGCTCATCTTTTCTAAATTCGGGTGTGTTAAGTGTGGGAGGAAAGTTGGTTGACGGTCGAGATCGAGGAGTCGAATATGCGGTCTCGTAATAGGTATAGGTAGGTAGTTATGAGGTGACCGTATGGCGTATGTAAATTGTAGATGGGCAGATGGGTGAATATCTCGCAATATCTTCAGTACGAGAATGAAGTTCCGCAGTGATCCCTCTCGATAGCCCTGTCACAATGTGACTCTGCAAAATTCCACGATATAACTCCGCAGCTTATTTCCTTCCAGCCGTTTGTTCGTTTCTTCACCCGTCTGCTCGAATTCTCTCCAAATCCAATATCAATATATATTTCTTCTCTTTGCGCACCTTTCCTCGGCGTAGTTCCAAAATTGCGTTCGGCAGTTCCGCAGAGTTGCAATCAAATCTTCCTATTGCCCCTCCAAAAAGATCACAAATTTTCAACAGATGCCCTACGTATGCTCCTAGTTTCCTACTCTTCTACGGTTCTTCTTTTCCTTTCTCCTCTCCTTATCGTATATATCTTCCGTCCTTCCGTCTGCAAATATGGTATTTCGTTGCTAAGCTGTTCTTCGTTTCCTCGTTCGTTGATCAAGTATGCCTATTCCTACTCTTTGTTGTTTCGATGCGTCTGTTTCGTTCCGTACCGTAATGATTCATACACTCATATCGCTCTCGTTCTTGTTCTTGAATTTGTTCCTCGTATCATATCTTCATTTCTCATTCCATTTCGGCTCATCCTATTTCAGCTCATCTCCCAATCCAAACCCTGAAGTCGTATGTCGTAGATCCTTCACTCTCGTTCAATCTAAAAATCTGAGTCGAATCCAATCCAAATATTCACTCTCTGCTCTGATGTCCTTCCGACGCAATCCTAGGTATGCAAATCAATCCTAACCAATCTATCTGCCCAAATTCAATTTATATGCGTATTCAAACTCTGTCTCTTCCACATTATCTATTCCAAGCTCTCGACAAACCCGTCTGAAACCAATACAAGCAAGTACCTAGTAAGCCGCACAAACAGACAATCAAACGAACAAGCAGATAAACAAATCAAACCGACGATAGCAAACTCGATGAAAGTTGCACAATATACACCAAACTTGTTATATGTCTTCACGCAACAACCAAGATCAAGTTCCGAATTCGAAAACCAAAACCCAAAAAAAGAATGTATGCTAGATAACCTTTATTTAAATTATCGAAATTGCTTTTTGGACTACTTTACCATACTATACCATAATACTTTCTCAGTCCTCTCTTAATATCAAGTCTGACAGGTAGACCCAGTGAGCTAGAATCCACCATGACGCACCTAAGAAATCCCACCCCTAGAATAATCCCCCCCAAACCTTAAAAACTAGGGGGGTAAAAGTAGAAATCTAATGCCCAGAGATCAATGCCCAGGTATAAAAAAAATCCCTGTCGTTGAAAGCAGAATGAAGAACCCCGAGTTTCTTGTTCTTTGCAGCACACATGACTTTCAAAGGTTCTCATAGTCGTTAAGTCGATCAGCTGTGATGCATTCTGACGCAGAGAAGATTCAAAGTAGTTTAATCTTCAAATTTGCGGTGTGAAACATATGTACTCATGACTGCATTTAGCAAGTATTTCAAGGTATGGCTTGGAATGAACGGGCTGATGGGCTACGCAGTACGTTTCGGCTTAGATCGGGCCAGGGCATGAAATCGGTAGGAGCGTTTGGTCCGAGTCGTACAGATATGGGATTTTGCATTTTATTGTAATTTTCTAGACGCAGGTGATTTAACTGCTTTTTGGGGTTGCTTTGATAGTACATAGCCTCTCTTTAGCAGATGAGAAGATTGAAACACGTTCTTCAAATTCCCAAAACAAAACCTTCTACTTTACATTTCCTTTATGCTACACAATCAGTACCCATTCCTACTCTATCTCCCTTCGCTTCCTTTGTATAATGCTTAGGGCCATCCGCACGGAGTTTGTTCACTTCGCACGGCAGTTCTAGCGGATTTCCTTGCAGAATCTCTGAAAGAACAGATGTGTCTCCTACTTCATCTAAATCCAAACCCGGAATATCCTCGTCCGAATCGTCTCCAGAACTTGGTTCATAGGGAAAGGCAGCCCCAGCCATACCTATCACACGCATTAAAGCCCATTGGAGTTCAAGGAGCTTGAGACTTGGGAGGGGTTGCTTTATTGGATCGGCAGTCTTGAGTTCGAAGATTTGGCCGGATTTGATGGCTTTGCCGCCCGGACAGTATAGCGATGTATAGCCGTAATCAAATGCACCCTCATTGTGATCGAGGTTCTCAGTGGAGATAGGTGCTGTCATTAGATTCATAGTTGATCGGATGTCGGTCTGTTTCTTCTGCCAAAAAAACTGGACTTTCAATGTGGTTTTGTCGTCAGAGATAGAAATTGGCTTCAAGGCAAACGCCCCTCGATTCCATTGGACATGTGCCGTCTTTGACAATGTTATTCGATTATCAACCTTTTCGTCTCCTATTTCAGATAGCCCTCTTGGAAAAATTTCAGCTTTCCAAGCAGCCACTTTCTCCTCTGACCAGAAGTTTCTCAAATACTCCCAAAACATGTGTCTCGCCCCAAAAATGTTCTCTTCTGAAGTCGATATCCGGCAAAAAGGGTATATATGTGCTACTTCGATGACTGAATCGCCAGTAAGCACACAGCAATGGTGGTCACGATCCTTAGCCTATAAAATATGAGCTTCAAATAGTAAAGAAATGTGCATTTCAAGCTTACCAGATCCGAAGCAGCCTTGCTTCTATACAACGACGGCGAACTAACAGGGGAATTGGTACTCGTCTGCTTGTCAGCAAGGGAGGAACTGACAGGTGAACCTGTCGTTTTTTGCCTCTTAGCAAGCGGAGAATTGGTTGAAGATGAGCCCAAGCCCCGTTTCGATTGTGTTGTGTTTGGAGTGGAAACACGCAATGTTCCTTGATTACTTTGCGTCCCTATAAATCAATAGCAATAAAGAAAAAAAAAGCAGATTATATATTCTACTTACAGTACAATACTGTTATAAAGGCTTGGGTCGCAAAAATACGAACCATTACAGGGGAAATGCGAGCAATGTCTATAAGTTTTTGAAGTGCCTGAAGGTCACACACTTGACAGAAAGCCCAGAAGTATGGAGGTACATCTCCTACTTTTTCTTGGAAAACTTTTAGTAGATTAATTCTTTCGTTGCTAGGGACATTGAAATCCTCCATCCTTTCTGAGGTTGTATCAGTGTCGGAATCAACACGAAGAGATGTGGAGATGGGGAAAGATGGTGGGGTTCGGTACAGGTGAGTGAGTTCATTAACTGGCGATCCTATGGCGCGTTTCCTAATGCAGAAACCCCAACATGAATAAATACTATGGTAATATTTAAGTTCCGCGTTATTGATATTTAAAATATGTGAATGTCTCGAATTATGTGTACAAGTCTTCTTTCTCTAATCAAAAAGTTCCACCCCACAAATACGCATCTTCCTCCATATATCTGCTACAACTTCACAACTTCACAACTTCGCCTTGGCTTTCTCTGCTGGATTCGCCAGAGGATCATAAGTCGTCATACCCTATTTAGCTGTTAGCTGCCAGTCATTTCCCATATCATATCAAGAGAAGGATACTTACCAAAGTATCAATCGGAACCATTGTAGTATGTGAACTTAATCCTCTAGTGTCGATCAATGTCGGATTCAACTGATCCACACTCGAACACCCAATCAACCTCATATTCATTTCCATCTCATCTTTCAATAACTGCATAGCACGATCTACACCCGCCAATCCATACGCACTCATAGCATACAAGAAAGGTCTACCGATTCCAACACCTTTAGCACCTAAGCAAAGTGCTTTGATAATATCCGTGGATCTTCTGATGCCGCCATCAATATAAATCTCGATACGATTTTCCCATCCCCGTTCTCGAAGAACAGGCATAACCTCTGCGAGAACTTCGATACCTGATCGAGCAAAATCTAATTGACGGCCTCCGTGATTAGAGAGTACAACACCTTGAACGCCACATTCGACAGCTCGAATAACATCTTCTACACGTTGAACACCCTTGAGAATGATAGGCATCTTGGTAATAGACTTGAACCAAGGAATATCTTTCCAACTCAAAGCTGGATCGATAAAACTCGAAATAGCTCGTGCTGCACCTTGAGAGTTATCCGTGGATTGCCCACTGCTTGATTGAACAGAAGATCCTACATCCGTAAACTTTGAACGCATATCCTTTTCTCTTCTTCCTAATTGAGGAGCATCGACTGTGATGAATAGACCCTTGCAACCACGATGTTCGGCATGTTGAACAATCTTCTTTGTAATCTCTCGATCCTTATTGACGTATAATTGTAACCATTGAACCTGCTGTCCCTCTGCGGCATCCATGATTTCATCAAACGAGCAAGATGCTAGAGTAGGAATCATTTGTATAACATTGTGTTTCTTCGCCGCTCGTGTGAAGACGACCTCTCCTTCGGGGTGTCCAAGCTTTCCTAAAGCTGTAGCTGTCACATAGAAAGGGATATCGACTTTCGTTCCAAGCATAGTTGTAGTAAAATCGACCTTTTCCACATCCACAAGAACCTTTGGTCGAAACCATATCTTATGAAAGGCGGAATGATTTTCTCGCATAGTCTACTAATGTTAGCCATTGCATCAATGTTGAAGTCAGGAAGGGTCTGTCTTACAATTTCATCATCGGCACCGCTAGAATAGTATGCCCAAGCAGTCTTCTTCATAACCCTTCTTGCCACAGACTCGAAATCCATCAAATTGTAGCATTGTTCTAGAATTGGCATACGTGAAATTCTTTCTTGTCTTGCCTCTTCATCTGGATCAAATTCCTTCTCTTCCTTCTCGACTGTGCCCATATCAACTGGTCCTAGATGTTTCGATTTATCTAGAAATTTATCGAGAGTATCAGGGGGATGAATTGGCTCGTATTCTTCTGTAGCATCTTTGCCCTATATTACAAAGTTAATTTCTCTGCATACCATTGATAAATTTCTGAGGGATATTTACGGCATATTTGAGAATGATCTTAGGTCCACCAGGATGTTCTGTCGAGATAATTAATATATAGCTTTTCCTGATACCACTTGTATCTTCATACCAGGTAAGAATTCCGTAACGTCATAAGCTTTTCCCTATATCAAGAGTCAGTCCTTGCCCCTCCATACAATGAGGCAAATACATACATGAACAATAACCCAACATGACTCTTTCGAGTTATGTTCTGCAACTTCTTGTCCAGTTAACTTGGCCATCTTTCCGTTTAGCTTGTGATAATCCAATGTCTTGATATCTTCAGAATCGCAATCACAATGGCAATTGGAGAAGAGATATGTAAGTGAGAGAAAGATGATAAATTCAAGAAAGATGCTAAATAAAAGAAGAGAAACCCGAGTGTATATACTATCAAAGTCAATAGCTAAGACCTAAAGATATTTTGTGGAGTAGCCTCGGAAATAGAGGTCCCTATTGAGGTAACGGAAAAGAAAAGAAAGGAATTCCATGCTCGGCATATCCAGCCTCTCAATTCAGATTCGCCTTTTCGGATGAATGGCGAACGAATGAAACACAGAAGGTATACCGATTTGGGAGGAGTCACCGTCCAAGCAAGCATGTGTATTTGTAATTGTGTCAATGCGAAACTGGAGATAAAGTCTGGTTGAGATTTATCTCTCATTGCATTCTCTTTACAGGAATTTACGTGGTGCTAGAAAGTATTTAAGGAAGGTTGCATTTCGAAATACAAATCATACTTTGACCCACCAGACCTCGATAACAACTTATCCCCGTACCTTGACGATGAGAGCCCAGCAGCCCCACCGACTTCGGATGCGGGGAGAGCTACGGTAAGGATGAAAGTGGTTTGACCAATAAGATATCAGATATTAGATACCCAGGTGTCATCTGTTTCTATGATTCCAGTTATTCAGACCGGTTGATGTAAAGGAGGACGACTTGAAATACTATGTCACTACCGTCTTGAAGTACCGAAGGACTATGGAACATCTTCCAAAGGGGGGCGAGTATATTGTCAGTGAATGAAGTTCAAAGCACATGTCACCTCTACAAGTCCTGAGCTATGGAAAGTTATATGTCATATCTTATCCTATGTTTTCTTGAGGATAGACTTCTCAATCGCTATTACGTTCATCATTCATAGCTCTACAACTTCAACTGGATTCCCCACATCGGTCGATGATTGATAAACAACCGCAGCATTGATCATCAAACCACCGTTTCCACCAGCAGGACCAACCATTAGTCTTTGCCATAAGATGCCCTTTACTCCATACCAAATCACTTTCACAGCATCTATCCATGCCAAACTTGGTACAAAGTCCATGATTATGCCTCCTCTCTTCCTTTCCATAAGTCTCTCATAAGCTTCTTGTCCCTTGTCCCAGAACACAGCTTCGCGACCATGTCCGGAATGTATATGCCCAAACACATGAAGTCTAGGTTTGACCTTCCATATTTCTTCCAGTAACGACTTACAACCTAGGTTGATATCGAGGTGATGGCGAGGTGGACAGTGTGTAATTAGAATATCTGTATCTTTCGGTATACGATTGTCCCACGGCGCAAGATGTCTTTGATATTGAAACCTGGCAATTGAGAATACGATTAGCATTCAAATTCTCCCCAAAGGATTGCGGGCTTCTTACGCAAAATCAGAACCACCACATTGAGGGATATCGGGTGATCCATAAACCTTGAGCTTTCTCCCGCCCTTGAATTTCAATGTGATAGCTCTGTTCTCCAAATAATGTAAACTTCTAAAATTCAATTTCCTCTTCTTATCTTCTTCCTTCCTTGATTTGGGATCAAAATAACTATCATGGTTTCCACAAATAAACACTTTCTCTCTATGCGGCTGTTGGTCCAACCAATCTATCTGGGCTTGTATTTCTCCCACCGTACCCGCATTTGTCAAATCTCCTGCATGTATTAAAAGATCTCCAGACGGAATTGGCAATGTATTGCAATGTGTATCTGAGATACACACGACTCGAACGGGAGGTTTGTTTCGGGGAGGTTTGAAAGAGGTGCCACGGAAATAGAGGAAGATGGTATGGAGGTAGAAGATCAATGTGCGGAGAGGAGATTCGAGGAGAGAATCAAGAGGAGTTGGAGGATCAAATATATTATTTCGACGAGACCATGGGTATATGGTCTTTTGTTTGGGTGCCATGATTGAGGTGTGCTGGCGCCTGTTGGCGGATACCAGGTAGTTTTAGCAATTTGCTCTTGAGTGTTGATTAGATATACCTATGATTAGGTCAATCCTCAATTAAGAGTTGCCTTTCGACATCCAGGATAAAGTAGACACATTTCCATAAAGCGTAACCGATATTGGAATTCACTAGAGAAGGTAGTTATCTGTCTATTGTACCCTTACCTAGTCAATTGATACTCAACCGGAATAAACGTGGGGTGTATGTGTGCACTCTATAGCTTCACCAAGGCCAAGCTTCAAGATAGGTGACGCGACAGGGATAAATTCAGGATCCCCAAATTTAGCGCCGATTTCGTCATGGATGTTTGATGGCTTGATTGAAGCTTGTGTGAATATTATCATTCAACAAAGAGCTGGTTATTTACCAACTTTTCACCTCTTGTTGATTTTATATCTTCTGCTACATATCTGCGGAAACTCGAGTCGATCAAAGTTCTTCTGGCAGATTTGCATCGACAATATGGCTTCGCTCAAGAGTATTTACGAGCCAAATCCAGCTCTTGGAAATGCTTTAAATACCAATTTTGAGTAAGTGAACAGGAGGGGTTGGTAAACATTAGCTGATCAGATTTTGCACAGAGTCGACTTTGTAATCGATTATCGTTTTGCTACTACAAGTATGACAACCCAATGCTCCCCATTCAATTTCGCAGATAACTAATTTACCCCGCCAGACAAGGTCGAAGCCGAAGCACAATTCGTGAAGCTTATCGAAGCTCTCAACGATGTTGGGTTGATGACTGAAGTGCGAAATGGAGATAACTGTTCACTTCTTATATTTGTCAAAGCTGCTTCGGACAGACATCTGCGATCCGAAGTATATCGCTCCAGAGTACAAGATTGGTTATATGGAGTTCGAACAGCTGCACCAGAAAAGAATATGCAAGAGGCTTTGAGTGCAGAACCAATGACTGAAGCTGAACGACTAAGATTAGTATACTTGTTGATCACAAAACCGAGAAATGAAGGTGGTGCTGGAATCACGCCTAAGAGAGGAGAGTGGAAGGGAGTCGAATCGATATTCCCCCTTCATGACCATGAATTCAATAAGGCTTGGATTAAGGAAATTACCTCCAAGTATCTTCTGACAACCAAGGATCTAGAGGATATCAAAGACAGATTTGGTGAAAAGATTGGATTTTATTTCGCCTTTCTACAATCTTATTTCATGTTTTTGGTATTTCCTGCGGCATTCGGATTTTGCGCTTGGGTTCTCTTCGGTCAATACTCCCCAATATATGCCGTAGTCAATGGCTTGTGGGGAATCGTCTACACGGAATACTGGAAGAAACAAGAAACTGATCTTGCAGTACAATGGGGTGTTCGAGGAGTATCCAAAATTCAACACAAAAGACCCGACTTCAAGCATGAAAGAGAAATCAAGGATCCGGTTACTGGAGAGCAGATCAAGTTTTACTCTCCAGTGAAAAGATTGAGTCGTCAATTGCTGCAAGTACCTTTCGCACTCTGTGCTGTTGTTATACTGGGAAGTTTGATTGCAACTTGCTTTGCAATCGAGATCTTCATTTCTGAAGTTTACAATGGTCCATTCAAGGCATATTTGGTAAGTATATTGGTCATAAATTTGAACTCAGCTAACAATAGATAGACTTTCTTACCAACTGTCATCCTGACAGTGTTCATGCCAACACTGTCTGTTCTTTTGACAGGATTTGCCTCAAAATTGACAGATCTTGAGAATTATGAAACTACTGACGGTAAGTGACTATCCCATGTGCCCTAGTTTTAATAATTCTAACCTTCAATAGCACATGATGCAGCAATGGTTCAAAAGATCTTCGTCCTCAATTTCATAACATCTTACATGCCAATCTTCCTCACAGCATTCGTCTATGTTCCATTTGCTCAACACATCGTCCCTCATCTCGATATTTTCCAAATGGCCGTGAGACCATTTGCGGAGAATGATGAACAAATGACAGCACCAAAAGCCGGATTCCAAATTAATCCTGACAGATTAAAGAAACAGGTCATCTACTTTACAGTTACAGCACAAATCGTCAATTTCGCACTCGAAATTATTGTTCCATATGTCAAACGTAGCGTCTTCAGAAAATACAAAGAAGTCCAAGCTGATCGTGCCGCTAAACGTGGAGGTTCCTCAACACCGGAAAGTGATCATCCAGAAGAGGCCGCATTCTTAACCCGTGTAAGAAATGAAGCTGAATTGGGTATCTATGACGTAACAACAGATTTCCGAGAAATGGTTATTCAATTCGGTTATTTATCTCTCTTCTCAGTCGTTTGGCCCCTTACTGGTCTTTCTTTCTTGATTAATAATTGGATTGAACTCAGAGGTGATGCTCTCAAGATCGCACTGGAAACTCAACGCCCTGTTCCATGGCGCGCGGATTCTATAGGCCCATGGCTTGATGCATTGGGTTTCTTGTCATGGTTGGGAAGTCTTAGTACGGCAGCTCTGGTGTACCTATTTTCGGGGGATGGATTTGGACCGGATGGAACACCAAGTAAAATGACGGGTTGGGGAGTGTTACTTACTATGTTTTTTTCGGAACATATCTATTTGACTTTGAGAAGAGGTATTCGATTGGCATTGAGTAAGATTGATAGTCCGGGATTGCAGAGAGAGAGAAGGGAAAGATTTGCAGTTAGGAAGTATGTTGTTCCTGCCATGTTTGCTTCGTTTGTGCCCCTTTTCTCGTCCGTTTAAAGGGTGTCTATAGGTTTTTTACTTTGAGGCGTAAACTAATTGCGGGTGTGATAGACAATATTTACAAGAAACGATATCGCAAGAAGCTGCGGAGAAGGCTGCTTCAGGAGGAATTACAAATGGGGAGAAGATTAGTAGAAATACGCTAGAGGAAGAAGCAAGAGAATCGAGTTTGAGAGGTCATGGAACTGCAGAGGAGAGGTATGCTTCAGAAGTTACGGAATTGCATGTGATGGTATTGGAGACTGACGAAATCAATAGATTCTGGCAGAGACAAAGAGGACAGGGAGAAACTATCGCGATGGGAAGAAGTTTTATTAATAAGACGGCTCCGAATGTGGAATCGAAGAAGGAACTTTGATTAGGTTTTCGTCTTATTGTTCTTGATGACTTTGTGGTTGGATGGGCAAGGATAGGGTTCACGGATGAGGGTAAGGGGAGAGTAGGAATCGAAAATGGAAATGGAAATCGGGAGGGAAAAAGCGAAGTCGAAGCGAGGGAGATATTCATACGGGCTTTTTGTGCGTTTGATCATTTTTCATCGTCCTTTTTTGTTGGGTTTGATTCTCTTCATAGCATCTATCTAGGTATGCATAGCGTGGAATCGTGATATGAATGGAATGGAATGAAATGTTGAAATAAATAAATAGGATGGGATGTGCTTCTTTTATGAATCAATAAATTACACCCACCAAGTCTACACTCAACAAGCAAAAACAAGCCAAAAGTAAAAGAAGCCTTCAACTATACTCCTAAATATAACTATGGTATCCCAACTTTCAAATCCAAGTCAAAGCCAATCCAATCCAATCCAATCCAATCCAATCCAATCCAATCCACATCCACATCCAAATCCCAGGTCCAGCTCCAAACCCATCAAATCCAAATCCTCATATGCATTTCTCCATTCTCCATTCTCCGGTTTCCATTCCAGCCCTGCAAGTCACATATCCATGGTGAATTCCCAATCGAAATCGAATCCCATTCCGTCGAATTCAAATTATTCATCCATCCATCCATTCATCCATTCAGAATTCCGACTCCCATCCCACATCACCTGGAGTGCTCAATAACTTCCTCTTCTTCCTTCCTTTCTTTCTTTTGCGTTTGCGTGTGTATTTGCGCTCGCCTTATCTTTATCTTTATCTTTATCTTTATCTTTATCTTTGCATTGAGATATATATTCATGTTTGCGAGTACATGTGTGTGTGATTGTCGTTATTATCATAGGTAGTCATAGTTGGGATCCCATCTTTTACTACCATCCAATCCCCCTCCCTCTTTCATTCACCCACCAACCCCTAACTCCTCAACCAACTACTCCCCAAAATACCCCCACTCATACTCCCATTACTCCCTCTATTCACATTGCCCGGCGCGCCCTTCGAAGCCGACCCTACACTTCCACCACTCCCCCTATTTCCACCCCCACCACCTAACCCACCATCTCCCCCCGAAGTCCCCGGTCTCACCCCCACATCCACCTCCAACCCCGACTGCACCCCCACCAACGGACTGCTAGGCGTGCTCGCCGTACTCCCATTACTCCTCACGCTCGCCGCCCTCCGATGTCCATATCCCATCAAGCCACTCAGCGAACTTCCACTTCTTTCCCTCAGCGCCTCTCCCTCTTTCTGCACCGGACTTTGCGGTCCCCTCGCACTCCTATTCCTACTCAAACTAGAAGGAAAACTAACCATCCTCCCTTTTCCTCCCGAGAATCCAAAAGCTGCTCCCAAACCCCCTCTTTCCTTTTTCTCAATATCCGTGCCTAATATCTTCGACGCTTTAGCATTACCAGACGAAGAATCCGTACTTATTAAATCCTCCACAAAACTACTCGGGAAAAGTCCCCATTTGCCTTTACTAGTACAACCACTCCAACACCATTGATCTTGCCATGCATACCCTACGCTATATATTCTCTCTCCTTTTGAAAATTTAAGCCATCCTTCTTCTTTATCTTTGGGTTTCCAATCCCATTTTGCAACAGCTTGGAGAGAACTCTGTGGATTCATTTTTACTTCATCTCGCGGTGGTGAGAGGAAAGAAACAGTGTTTGCGGGAAAAGATCCTCGTTCGCCATCATGATACCCTATACACCAAGTACCTCCAAAGCGTTCCGGAAACGTAATCCCTACAATTTTCGCACCGTCTGCAAAATGCATACTTTGTTGACCGTCAGGATCACGAAAAGTTTTGGCGACAGGTTTTGGATGATGGGTTGTTATTGCGTGAGCAGCAGGACGAGATGCCACTTTGGATGTGATCTCAGACATGCAGTAGGGAGAAAATTTAGGTTCGTGGATTGTGAATTGAATGTCGAAATCAAGGACTGAAGGAGGTTGGATTCCGTAGACGGTTGTGATCCCTGCTACTTGGGGAAGGGGACGAGGGTGACGGGCTAGGTGACGAAATAAGGATGTTACGCTAAAGAAAACGGTTGCATCGTGTTCTTCAACTGTGCGGTGATCTTCAATACAGAATATACACTGGATTGCGATGTTAGCTATTTGTTTGAGTTCAGAGCGCAGGAGGAAAGGATTGACTACATACACCGTAGATAGGATCATCTATTGAAGACGTTTTAAGATGACATTTGGAAATAAATCGTTGACGCCATCGAATACCGGTATTAGAATATATACCAGAACCTATACACAAACTAAGATTAGCATCCTCCCCCACGCTCAAAAGATAATTTACACATACGATCAAGTAATCTATCCTTTTCCACGTCATTCCATCCAACCTCATAAGCACATTTAATACATCTCGCACTGAGAGTAGCACTATAATGGCCCTGATCCTTCTGTTAGTACAGACAAACCTAAGTATTAGCAAGGGAACGCGAATAATATCTGACCAATGAAATAATGAACAAAGTAAAAGTAAAGAGGAAGCAATTCTACATACAGAAGGTCTTTTAACGACTTTAAATCCAGTTTCCCCTCTAATCATTGCTTTAGCCCCGGGACAAAATCCATCGAATTTATAAAACGAACTATCATGCCTCATAGGACAATCTATACTTTTCATTGAAGGAGTGGCTCTATGCATTGCTAGTTGACTTTGACTTCGATTTTCTGGAATAGGATTTGGAAGTTGTATTGGTACTGGTTCTGGATCTTGAGTTGGTACAACTTCTAAACCACTTTCGATAACAGGAACAACTTCTAATCCATCTTCAACTCCATTACCAAAACCAGGCAGTTGTAATGTGGTGGCCAAGGATGTAGTGGAGGTTGGGGTTGTGGTTGCAGTTGCCAGTCTGCCCCATGAAGCTGGATCATGTATTTCAGAGATTGGTGGACTAACTGGACTTTTCAACCATAACGAAGTTCCTGATTCTGAAGGTTGATATTCGCTAATACCAGGACTCAAGGGCGTCGCCGAGATTGGCGTCGGAGGTTTCAGTGAGGCGGTAGGGAAATATTCATTATCCGGTTTCGTCGTACTCGAAGATGCAGGTGTAGCATCTCGATCCCGTAATGATCCATTCCTTGAACTTCCTCCCTGAGAAGTCTGACCTTGACTCCTTTTCCGTCCTATCAAATCATCATATCCACTTCCTCTAGAACTATGCCTCTCTATTGGACTACTAGCTGACGAATATGAAGACCAAGGAGATGTAAGCATCGACCCATCACTAAAAGTTTCGCTTGCCCTATTCTCTTCTATCGAGGAAACCGATTTCCGTATTTCATCATGGAATGACATACGAGACTGTTTCCTTCGTTCTAGAAATTCCTCATTCGCATTCAGTCGTTGACAAACCAGTTCTTTAGCTATTAATATTTGCTTTGAAGGTGGTGTTTCATATCCATATTTGGGAGGAGGTGTAGCTTGTATCGATTCTTGATAACTTGGTTCTGGAGATGGACCACGAGGAGGAGTCCTTGGTCCCACATCGAAATATGGTCCGCTCAGACTCCATGGATCTTCCTTTTTGGGAGATCTCCTTGGAGGATCAGATAATGAAATTTTATGATCAATAACTTGTCTATCAATCTGGGAGGGCAGTGATGAATATGGTGGAGCGGTAGAATTTATAGAACCTGTTACCGGTGGTCTTCGAGGAGATTGTTCCATAATCGGTACATGTGCAGGACTCAATGGGGGAGATCTATCCTCCATCCGAAAGTGATGACGATCCGTCTGATCTATCCGATCCCGAAGATTGTTGAAAATAAAAGTACATTCTGTCCGACATCTTTTCGATTGTTGTTTAACATTTGTAAAAGCTGATGCTTGAAAAGATTCGAGGTTTTCATCGAAATCCTGACATTCATCAATTTGATCCCTCAGATCAATCTTAACCTCTTTCAATCGATTTTGAATAGATTCTACCACATCGTCAGTCAACAACTCCCATATATTTCCATATTCCTTAACATCACTTACCATCCTCCATTAACGCCTTAGCAAAATCTTCACCGTATGATCCTACAGCATCTCTATAAGCATCCGCAATAGCCTGACTAGTCTTTTCCAAATTCTTCTGTAAATTTTGTGCCAACTCCGATATATAAATTAAATTACTCGGCCCTTCGCTCGCAGATCTCGCAACCCTCTTCGTTAACTTTATCCCCGCATCTAGTGCCTTTATGATGCCCTTTATGGGAGCCGCAAAATCGTCCGACATGTGGGCGGGAGCTTACGAGCGTAGCTCGCGAGTAGTGAATATGGCTTCGAATAGTTCGTATATAAAAATATATTCCAGACGCACCACTTCACCAAGGACGGGATGACCTAATTCGCAAAGCGTCTCCTAGCCCGACCGTCTCGCGCAGAGGCCACTCCACTTCCACTTCCACTTGTACTAATCTTTATCGACAAATCTTGCGCCAGTAGTGTTCGGGGTCGTGTTTATGTTCGCTTTCAATCGATCAATCGAAGGGTATGTGTGTAATATCGAGCCCGTTTCCGTAATATCTAATCCAATCCCTCCTCCCAAATAACCAAATCTCAATCCGCGGTACTGTATGGAATGTAAAGAATGTAGTGATCAAATATATGTACTAGTCAAAACAATAAATTGAACGATTGCACAAGTCATCAAGTATGCTGGCACGGTAGCACTTTGAATGAATGATGGTGAGGTCTGTGTCTGCAGGAGAAATGAAGAGCGCGAAAGGATGACTGCAGGTAGTTTGTGTTGTGTTGCGCTGAGGCTCTTTGCATTACAATATGATATGTATGTGTAAGTAACCTTTTACTCGGTAGGTATTACTCGTCCACGGGTCGTTCAGTCTTGTTGGGGAGTATAGATGTATGCAGTATGACCATATCAGGAAAAGTAACCGTCCAATATCGAATCCAAACAATTTACTGGCAGAAGTATGATCGATAGTGCGATTC